TCACTGTATCTGTTGTTGCCGCCCGCTTCGCTTTGCTCACTAATTGCAGCTTAGGGGATGCTATGTCAACATTGCCGGAAGTCGCTAATTTCTCCTTCTTCTTGCGCTTCACAATCGCCTCCGAGTCCGAGGGGCGCCTTTGTGCGCGTATGACCAATGGCAGTGTGCTCTGAACGGCTGGTTCTATCTTGGAACCTTCGACTGCTGCTATTGAGGCGCGTCGTGAGTTCTTTGTCTTGACAGTGATTTTCTTTTTTATGTTGGCGGGCGCAGATGCGTCTGCACTAAATGGTGGCGGCGGGGTCACATCAACCTGCGGTAATTGCGTTGCTGACTGGGCTGGTGCTATTGTAGCCACCTCAGAGTCCTTCACTTCGGCATTTGAAGCATCTTCGTTGGGTTTCTCTTTAGATTCTTCTTTGGCGGAGTTCACGGCCACCTTTGGCTCTACTTCGCTGTCCACTTTAAGCTGATCTTCGGGCTTAACTTTTGCCGGCACCGTGGACTTTGCTATGTCCGTTTGAGTGTTTGCTAAAGGATCTACATGAGGATCAACTTTGGGCTCCACTTTGAGCTCCAAGTTTGGTTCCACTTTCGGTTCTAGTTCAGGCCTTTTGAGCAACTCCTTTTGCACCTGCTTTATAAACTCAATTTTCGCGTGCTTTTTAGTGTCTGTCGGTGCTATTGGGTGATCTTCTTCTTTGACTACGCCGTTGACCTTTTCTGCAGCAGGTATTTCAGAGGAGGGGGTATGTGCTTGGTCCTCTTCGGCTTCGTCAAAGCAACTACGACGTCGCACTTTCTTGATAAAGCGAAATTTTACGGCAGGCTCTGGATCCGTTTCGGGCTCTTTAGTTTGTTCGCTGACCGTTGCCGAGGATGCGGTGGCAACACTTGGAGGTCCCTCCCACTTTACGCCGGCAGCCTCGGCTTCGCTTTCTGTGCTATACTGCTTGAGCACGCCCTTCACCTCACTGAGAGCGCCGGATATGCGCGCCTTCAGTTTATTCAAACGCTCGATCACATCTTCCGGTTTCTCCTCGACTGAGTCCTGCGAGCGCATGCGCCGCTGTCGACGCAGACGCGTGCGCTCTGGGAGCACGGACTCGACGTCAATGTCATCACGACTTGAATTTAACGAACTAGAGCTGCGTCTCAAATCGCTCAGCTGATGTCTGTTCTCTGACAAGAGAGAGGATGTGGGAGTTGGTACATCACGTATTCGACTAGGAGTCGCACTGAGACTCGCAGTGTGGCGACTGGCTGGTGCTGTGGTTGGTGCTCTTGTGGAGTTGGAAAAGGCAGGCACTGGACTTGATGCTGCCACTTTTGTGGGCTTCAACTCATACTTCATGGCAGCGGCGCTCACCTCCTCGCTGTGATTGTTGTTGTTAATGCCGCTGTTGTTGTTGTTGTCGTCCACTGGCTCATCAATTGGCTGCTCCGCATAAATCTCAAGACCGACGACTGCTGTTTCGCTATCCTCGCCCACTTTTGTCAAAGTCATTGCCGCACATTCACTCTGAACTTCACTTTCGAACTGGTCGCTTGCACTCAATTGTTCTGGGCTGCTAATCCCTAGAAGATTACCCGTTTTGGAGCAGGTTATTAAATCAATGACGTCGCTCAGCAATTCAATTAAATCAATGTCTGTGAGCAGGTCATAAGGCAATCTATCACTGGACGCATTGATATTGATGCTGCTTTCGTTCAGGAACGCGCGTACGGCACTCTTCAATATTTCTATATTTGGCACGACGGGATTTTGACGCGTTGCTGTCGCCAGCAATTCCGGCGGCGCAATCAAGGACGTTGTTGTTGGTAGTATTTGATGAGCGATTTCGCGGGAACTGCGACTACTACTAAATTCCACTTGCTCAGACGACGATTCGCGCGCGTCTGAGCATTCAGCGGGCCGATGCTGGTGATTGGAGGCAATCGTCGGTATAGCCGCCCCCTCGACAGCGTGGCCGTCTATTGTTTGTGGCTGCTCCTCGGCTAAGCATATTGACTGTTGTTGCTCTTTATGTGCTAAATTTTTGCTCGCCAACGCTTTAGTCATATTTAACTCATTATGATCTTGTTGCTGATGCGGTTGGTTGTGCTTCCGACTGTTATCCGCTGCTGGCAATACCTCCTCTTCCTTCTCTAATTTGCTTTGCTCATATAATTCGCCGCTTTTTTTAGCGGCATCCATGGCGTCGTCCACACGTTGTCGCTGCTGCCTAAAGGCGTCATTAAAATTTTCCGCCTGTTGATGCTCGATTTCTTTTGGCTTGCCAACGCCAACACTACCAGCAACAACAACAGCAGAAACAGCACCTTCGCCTTCATCGTCGTCTTTCAAGTTGAATGTTTGCTCATGAGCTTTGAGTTCATTATCATTTTCTTGGTCATCATCATCATCATCATAATGTATATTGGCTTGCGAATCCATGGCTATTTTAGTGCCTTTGTCGTGGCTCGCCTGCGTCATTGTTGTTGTGGGTGCCTTGTTTTGGTTCTCATTCTCAACAGCGACAACATCATCGTGTCGACTTCTATTGCTCTGCTCAATTGTTTTATGCGTATTTGGAAAGTTGAGAAATTGCTTTTTAATTATGGGAAATTCTGTGAGCGCCCCATTACCCGCAACTGAAGGGGGTGGTCGAAAGAATGTTGTTCTTGCTATTGTCTGCAGCAAATAATTGAAATTCTTGTAATTGTCTAACAGACAGAATTGGCGATCTGCCGGAAAACACCGAACTGTAAGACACTTGGGGCTCACCAAGGGAAATTTGGGTGGTAAATTTGCAGGATATATATCCTGAGTATACAGGAAGTTGAGAGGAAATCCTTTATTTTGTGGCCTGCTTTGCCATGGAAACTTATTGGGCTCTCCCACGAACATAGCCTGATCAACATTAAAGCTCGTTATCCGCAATCGCTGTTGCTCTTTTTCAGGTAACTGCTGCTGCCGTTGTGGAAAAAACGCATCCATTAACGCGCTCTGCAGCTGCAAAAGCGGAAATCGCAGTTCATCTTTCGGCACTTCCGTTGGTATGCCATTCGACGCCATTGCCATTGCCATTCCGAATGTTGTTGTTGACAACATGGCTGACTCAGCTGCTTGATTTATGATGGCGTCAACAACCATATGCGCATTATTATTAGAAGCGGCAATCCCTTCTATGCTCCCCTCCTCTACACCTTCTGCGTCTGGCATGGCTAATTGCCTCTCATTAAGGTTACTCAATGACATCGCTGTGGTCAGCGTGGGCGTTTTCCGCTCTCTTGCCTGATGCTGACCTATTTTGCAGGGTCCCTCGACTGTGTTGTAGTGGATTTCACGCGCGTCTTATTCGAATGCACCTACAAGTATGTTGCGCTCAACACATTACAAGTCAAACTGTCCGACGAGGCTTTCTTTCAACGACAGAGCCTCAGAAAATACGTGACAAGAGTTCGTTTTGTGTGTCACCTTCTCGAGGCAACAAATTAGATTGCTCGCGCGTGTGGCCAATGCTAAATCAATCGCACAATCTATGTAAAAATGCAATAAGAACTATAAGATCAGACAAAATGAATTGCTTAATTGAGAAACAAAATACAGTAAATGTTTCTTAAAAGCAACACAATATGGCTAATCTATGTATTTCAAAGAATTTTAAAATATCATGTTAAATACATACATACTATATGTAGCCGAATACATACATATGTCCATCTATCCGTCCGTCTGTCTGTATCAGCGCAAAGGAACTCAAGAAATGAAAAGGCGAGAATAGCCAAACTTGGTCTCCAGATTCTTCTAAGGCCGAGAAAGTACGAATATACGTTTTTTTCAGATCACTCCACTAGTGATTTTCTAAAACTCCCGTAATTCCTGGAATTTTTCTAAAATTTGGCAGTTACATCCAGCTAGTGCTTATCTGCCATAATGTTAAGTCTCATCGTGAAAGGTCAACTGTTAAGAAATTTATAGCCCTAAATGTAATCTCTGCCCAAGCTCTGACCGCAGCTATGGATGTTGTTGTTGCTGTTTTGCGTCAGCTTAATACTACACACATAAATATGATGAATGTACATGCATAGACACAAAACAGACCCACATTGAATTGTGATGTAAATTAATGCTACTTAAGTATTACATATACATATGTATGTGTCATATTTCAATTTTAAAAATGAATTTAATTTAAAAAATTAAATAAAATTTATTTTTGTGAAAATGGGTGCAGGGTATTTAAAAGTTGGTCCCTCTTCTTGTTTGATGTAATTTCCCACTTTTTGTGTAATTTAAAACAAATACCACCAATATGTTTCATATACTGGGCTACATAATATATGTTCCCCTTTAACAATTGAATAAATAAAATGATATACATATATTTAAAATGGGTACAACATAATAAGTATTAGCAATTATATTATAAAACAGTTGCATATATTGTATATCAACTGTACGTTGCTGTTGTAGTGAGCACAGACTAAAATGCAGAGCATCTGAAACAATGTTTCTCTTATTTCGAACATACATGGTACATGTTGACTACGTATGTATGTATGTATGTATTTACATATCTTTCAAGAACATGTATGTATCAACATACATGTTTTTATTTATCATATAGTCTAAATATATATATATGTACGTACATATGTATGTATGTACATATGTATATACTATTTGCATTTAAATAAGTCCGCTTGCCAAATTGCTTTTTAGCAGGCGAAAGAAAAAAAACTAAAACGCGTCCGCTCGAACTGCAAAGAACTTGCCTATTGTTCACATACCACAGCGACCAACCTGCATATATTCTTTAAAAATATATGTACATATGTATGTCTGGTATTCCCTTGCCAAGTTCTACCGGCTGTTGTGCGGCAAACATAACATAAATTACATTTACATATGCACACAATTTAAATGAACTATGTACATACATACATACATGTATTGCCGTATAGGGTGTCTAATAGAACTAACTCAATTGATGTGCTCCTTATTTATTTTACAGACGATGCATTTCCTACTTTGGCCGACCAACGAATTCGGCATCGTCTACCGGAAACAAGGTGCAACATTATAATGAGTATAAGGCCTTTATAACAAACATATTTGGCAAATTGACCGAAGAAAACCTGCAGCGACTGGAGAAGATTAAGGCAGCACAGCAAATGGAGGCAAAGGCTTCAATGGAAGCAGCCAAAAAGACAGATGAAGCGAAAAAGGCTGCAGAAGCCAAAAAGAAGGAGGTAAGCGAAGCGAAAAAGAAACCGGAACCAAAGCCTGCTGGCAAGTAAAAATTTTGAAGAGCCCACACCATGATAACAGCATAGGAAGTTTTAAATTTTAAATTCATTCAAAATTTTGTATAAATTAAAAATTTTAAATTAATTAAAAATAAATTTAGGCAAGTCTCAAGAATATATGGTTTAATTAATACAAAACTTTATGCAAAATAAAAGTACATGATCTTTGCACGAGTGTAGGAGCGTGTGATCAATATTTCCAAAAATTGGGGTTCTGTTCCATGCGTCTCTGGAAATTAGTGTACCAATTTTGTACTGCTGAGAAAGGCACAAAGAGATCGCTGCTCGTTGGTGGAATATCAGTCACACTGACGCCAAAACTGGACGCATAATTGAAAAAGTTCTCTAACATGCGCTGGCTAAATTGCTTGTTGTCATTGGCGGTGGACTGAAAATAAAAATGCATGTTCACGTTTGTACCCCAATGATTTGTCAACCCAAATACTTACAACCGCTGGCGTCTGCTGCACCACCGTCAACTCAGGCTCTATGGATATACCAATCTGTGCTATGTGGGATATTTCTTGTGCGCCAAAAACCATGCCATGTGAATGCGCCTCCAACTCATGACTTTTCTTTAGTTGCGCTATCTTGAATATAGCCGACGGTTTATGATTATTTATGTGACCCAGATATTGCCAGGTGGGCGCCGCATTTGCATCAGGCCAGCTGAAGTAAATGGCTGCTGCTGTGCCCACTGGAAGCGGCGTAATTCCTGTAAGAAAGACGACAATGTAATTGACTGCCTCAATGTCGGGGACATTGATGAGTAGTTTATTTTCGTCTACAGCTGCAAAATCCGTTTGAGGCTGCATGTGGTAGTGTAAGGTTAGACGGGGATGCTTTTCTTATATTTAAAAACATGCATACTTACCAGACGTCCTGAGATTATTAGGCCGAACATTACAGCAGCTTTAATTGTTGAAGGTCAATGGCTAGTATTTGATCTGTTTGGCTACTGCTACTGTAGTTTGGGCGGTCGCTTTGGATATTTAACCACGGATTCTAGTTTAGTTTATTCTGGAACATCAAGGAGTGTTTATGCTGCCATTCCAAGTGAAGCGCGAACAACAGCTGATAAGAAGCATTGCTACCATTTGTTACATTTATACGTTTTCCAGCACTACTAACCTGCCAAGTGTGTCGTTGTCGCTTCGTCACACATTGTAGATGTTTCTGATGCAGCAGGAAGCAACTCAATTTTGTTTTTGCTAAAAGTTATGGCCGTTTTACAATTGCCAAAATTGTGCAGAAGCAATAAACACCTAATAAGCTGCTGCCGGGTCTCTTGGTATTCACACACGAATAAAACCGCTCACGTTCAGGCGCAAGTGGTAAGCTCTTGTTCTGGCTATTGTCGCGCGCCTGACCGCCGCTCAAGGCCACACAACAATATAATCTCGTCTATATTTCGTAATTACATACATACATGCAAAAATAATTGCGAGTGGTATTGGCGCATTTTTGATTAGCAATATTTGAATGAGAAACTTAAAAATGGAAAAAAACTGGGGAAAGCATTTGCGTGTGTGCTGTTTTGGCCTATTTGGAAAGTAACGTATTAATTACCAACTACTTGCTTCTTTCGTTGCAGCAAGCGTAGAACAATTTTCAAACTCGCTTTACTGCTCAGTCCCGCGGCCAGAACAGCACACACCAGATTCACAAAATGGGACGCACACAACGTCGTCGTCATCACCGTTCACTTCTTAAAGCAACCATAAAATCGGTGGAATCAGACGCACTGCACACACTCTACTCAAAACTGCACTCACAAGGTTGGCGCAACGACACCCAGCTCTCGGGATGCCATTTTCCCGCAACTGGTCGTGGACTGTGTTCCAAGAAGCAGCATTTTGTTCCAGGCGACAGGTTAATAACCATGCCTGTTGAATGCCTTATAAGCATATTCACATTAGAGTCGGACGAGAGCTTTAAAGCGCTTTTTAATGTGGAGCACTTTGACGAGGATGCACGGATTTCATTTCAAGCACTCGTGGCTTGCTATCTAATGTACCAACAGCACGAGTCGTCAGAAAAAGCTGACACTAACTCTGCCGCCTACCTGAATACGTTGCCCGCAAACTACACCACGCCATATTTTTGTACTATTCCTGAGCTGCAGCTCCTGCCGGAAGCTTTGTTGGAACGCACAGTCGCGCAGAATCGGACGATACGAAATTACTACTTGATTTTGGAGACATTGCTTGGCTCAAAACATTGCCCAAACTGTAATCAATGTTACTTCTCAGACATTTGGACCCTTACGGATTTTAGGCGTGCATATTTTGCAGTAAACACTCGTAGCGTTTACGTAGAATCACGACATCTGAAGCCAACGAAATGCCATTTTCAGGCATTAATTGCAGGCGACACAAATCTTGCCTTGGCACCGTTCCTAGATCTTTTCAACCACTCAGATGCTGTAGAAACATCAGCTGAGCTGAAGCGTACATCAGATGGAAAGTCTTGGGAATTTGTGCTTACACTTGTCAGTGCACCAAGCGATAGCATCAAGCCATATTGTGAACTATTTATTAGTTACGGCGCGTTACCAAATCTCAAGCTGCTTACCGAATATGGCTTCTTTTTGGAACGTAATGCCCATGATTATTTCGAATTTTCACTGCTGGATATTGAGCATCTGATCAAGCATAACAAAGAGCTCAACACGCAAAATTATCATCGCAACATTTTTAAATTTATCAGGGACCATAATCTATGCGACCAGATGTTTGTGAACCTTGCCGATGGCTGCTCCCACAATTTGCGTGTTGTGCTGCATTTAATATTCAAGCAGCAGTCGTATTTTCCGAATGTGCTGAATCAAATTGCCTTTGGAGATGCTAACAAATTTGATGATGTCCAGCCAGAGCTTAGCTATTTGATCACCTACAAATTGCATGAGTATGAGCATTACACGGCTGCTCTGGCGCAGCTGCCCGAGCTGAGTGACAGTGGGATTGTGGCGCGCTCCTATCTGCTGGAATGCATGCGTTATCTTTCCGACTTTGAGGCGGCGCATTGCGATCTTAAGTTGACGGATTTTGAATAAAGTACAATCATTTCTATAAATTAACTGTGTATGAAATCTATATCATATCATTAATTTGCGTGCCCTTGTAGTAAATCTGTTTATTTGAAGAAAAAAACATTATGACATCTCTTTGGTCGGGCACTGAAATTGATTCCAAATAAGGAATAATTTTAAACTTAAATTATTTAAATTATCAAGTGACTTAAAGATGTGTATAATTTTTTCAAGAAAGCATTCATTAGGATCAGCTGAGAAGCTCCAAGGAATGAACTAAGTATTAAAATATATAAGAGCCGCAAAACACAAATATGAGGTCTGAATCAAGATGGCATTTACAGAAATATAGTAGTTGCAAACCAAGGCATTCTCAATATATAAGAGAACATTGCGAAGCATGGGAGACTTTATTAATAAATTAATAATGGCGCAAATGAGTTTAAAAATGAACATTATGAATTTTAATGCATGTATGTAACGATTTAATTATATATGATCAGCTCTATTGTGTATGGCCTACGTATATCGTTCTAGTATATTTGAATAATTAACTAAATAGTCCTTTCCCTTCCAGCTCTACTCCTCACTTGCAAGAGCTGACGATAACAACGGCCATGCCAAGTCAAAGAAGATTACACCTTTCACGCCCACGCCCGGAAATAAGTTGCTTGGCGGTGTCTTCGGCAAAAAGGCTAAAGGTATTTCTTGATGCATTACGCCACGATCGACCGTGGACCGTGCTGCTCTTTATGATTTTCTTTTCCGCTGTATATAACTTTCAATTTTTGCACTTTATTGATTTGACTAACCAACTTTTTATTTGAGCTTCGTATACCGTAACAATTATAAAAGAAAACTCCCCAAAAACACCGCTCGTTTGTTCGTTTGTTTGTTGTGTGCTCCTGTTCGGATTCCGGTGTTGCATTAAGTCATTAATAATGCAGGTCCAGCAGCTTCAATACTACAGCAACAACAACAACGACAACAAGCTCCACTTCCTCAACAATTACGACAATGTCACGTTCATATAGGAGGCGGAGGTGATGGAGGCAACGCCCTGGGGAAATTGGATGCGCCTGAGGTGACATCGCAAGACATGCTGAGAGCTATGATGGCTTATATATGGCCCAAGGACGATGCGCTAGTACGAAAGCGGTGAGTAGGAAACACTCTTAGATAAACGTATAGGAACAATACTGATACGGTTTATCATTACAGCGTAGGAATTTCGTTGGGCCTCTTGGCAGGATCGAAATTGCTGACCGTCTGTGTGCCATTTCTATTCAAAGGTGCCGTCGACACCATGACCACGCTTAATATGGACACAGCCCCAGATGCAGTGCTGTCCGCAGCAACTGCCATGTTGCTCGGCTGTGAGTATTCAAAACCGTCCCAGAATAAAGCGGTTTACCGTGAACTTAAAAACAATTTACACTAAACTAAATTATTGTATGTCACTACTGAGATTGATGTCATTTAAACATTATGTTATCCAAATTGCAAATAAGGGCAATTTCCTGACCCAAGGTCAGTTTTCTCGTTTATCACCAGTCTAAAAACTATTTATGGATGTAGTTTTTGTAGTTTTGGATACATTTAGAAGCCAATCAGAAATTAATGCTCATAAGCGTAATGCCGAATTTGTGGGAATTAAATATTACAACAGACACAATCAATAACATCAACCACAATTCCCTATATGGATATACTAGCAGGTCTTGCCCGTCTTTGATGGGCTCAGTATTTTTACTTGCAATTATAAGTTTATTTTCCATATTCTATTTTCTTCCGACACTCTAAAGTTTCTACATATTTTTTTATTAGCAGTGTTTTTATTTAAAATTGGACAATCATTAAATTGATTAAATAAACTTGACAGTTAATTTATTTCATTTATAATGACGCTGTAGCTAGTCCCAGGGGAGGTCCAGTTTCTACATATGTGTATTGCATGTATGTACATATTAATATACATTTCTGAAAAATTAAATTATAATATTTTTATCTATGAAATTAAATTATTCTGGGTGCCCTCCGCGATTCTTAATCGAGAATTAAACTGAGAAATTTCTAAAATATTAAATAATAAATTTGTGGAATTAAATTGTGAAAATTCTGATAAATTAAAATATTCTGGCCACCCTCCTCTGCGATTCTCATACCAAGTACCTAAGCACTGGCAAATAGAGAATTAAATTCTGAAATTTCTAAAAAATTAAATAATAAATTTGTGGACTTAATTTGTGAAATTTCTGATAAATTAAATCTAAATATTATGGGCGCCCTCCTCTGCGATTCTCATACCAAGTACCTAATCGCTGGCAAATCGAGAATTAAATTGTGTAATTTCTAAAATATTGAATAATAAATGTGTGAATTTAAATTGTGAAATTTCTGATAAATTAAATCATTCTCATACCAAGTACCTAAGCGCTAAAAAATCAAGAATAAAATTGTGAAATTTCTGAAAAATTAAATAATAAATTTGTGAAAGGAAACTTGTTTCCAAATTGCAGCTTCCTAGCTCTTACAGTTTGGGGCTGTGCGTTGATTGTGAATTAGTCAGTCAGTCAGTCAGGACAATCTTTTTTATATATAAGAAGCCATCACACATACAAGATGTCTTATTTTTAATAAGTCATAATGCGCTTTTTTACGAGTATTATAAATACCCCGACGTAAATATATTTATACTGTTTTATGTTTTTAACAGTGCAGAGTAATTGTCAAATTAAATGAAAAGTCCAATGTTTTGTGTGTTCCTACATATTCAATTTCTACTGTATGTCTTAACTTATGCTTTGTTTTATTCTTGTAGATGGCATAGCTCGCGCCAGTGCCGCCGGTTTCAATGAGCTGCGCAACGCTGTTTTCGCTAAGGTCGCACACCATTCCATACGAAAAATTGCCACCAATGTGTTTTTACATCTGCACAATCTGGACCTTGCATTTCATCTGAATAAACAGACGGGCGCACTTTCTAAGACCATCGATCGCGGTTCGCGTGGCATCAATTTTGTTCTCTCGGCCATGGTCTTCAACATTGTTCCGACGATTTTCGAGCTGGCGCTGGTCTCCAGCATTTTGGGCATTAAGTGCGGTCTAGCCTTCGCAGGAGTTTCAATGGGCTGCGTTGGCGTCTATGCGCTCTACACGCTTAGCGTGACGCAATGGCGAACGCGTTTTCGCGTCTACATGAATCAGGCTGAGAATGAGGCTGGCAACAAGGCTGTGGATTCCTTGATTAATTATGAAACAGTCAAGTATTTTAACAACGAAAAGTACGAGGCTGGTTGCTACAACGAGGTGCTTAGAAAGTATGAAGCGGCCAGTTTAAAGACCAGCTCCAGTCTGGCCCTCTTGAACTTCGGTCAGAATGCGATCTTCAGTACCGCATTAAGTTTGATTATGGTCCTGGCGGCCAAGGAGATTGCCCAGGGCAATATGACCGTTGGCGACTTAGTCATGGTAAATGGACTTTTATTTCAGTTGTCCATACCGTTGGGCTTCTTGGGCAGCGTTTACCGCGAGGTGCGTCAGGCATTGCTCGATATGCAGGCTATGTTTACGCTCATGAATGTCGACAGCCGCATACAGTCGCCGGTGAATGCGCAACCATTGTTTGTGGACAACAGCAATGCATCGATTGAGTTTCGTAACGTGAGCTTTGAGTACGAGCCGGGAAAACCAATTTTCAAGGATCTGTCCTTTAGCATACCGGCAGGCAAAAATGTGGCTATTGTTGGTGGCTCGGGATCTGGAAAATCCTCAATTGTGCGTCTACTATTTCGTTTTTTTGAGCCCAATACGGGCAAGGTGCTGATAGGTGGACAGGATATAAGCAGCGTAGACTTAGAGTGCCTGCGTAAGACCATAGCTGTGGTGCCGCAGGATTCTGTTCTGTTCCACAACACCATCGAGCATAACATACACTATGGCAACCTTTCAAAGTCGCACACTGAGGTGGAAAATGCGGCTCGCATGGCTGATTTGCATGACTCGATCATGAGCTGGCCAAATCAGTACAATACCCAAGTCGGCGAGCGTGGCCTTAAGTTGTCGGGCGGGGAGAAGCAACGCGTAGCCATAGCGCGCGCCATACTAAAGAATACGCCTATACTGATTTTCGACGAGGCCACCAGCAGTCTGGACTCTATAACAGAGCACGTAAGTGTGCAATATTATAATTAATTGATTTAATAACCTGCTGCCAACTAATATTATTCATGTTCCATTTGCAGAACATTCTTCAGGCCCTGTCGTGTGCTACCAGTGGGCGCACAAGTATTTGCATAGCGCACCGACTTTCTACGGTCAAAGAAGCCGATGAGATTCTAGTGCTTGCAAATGGACGCGTTGGGGAGCGTGGCACACACATGGAGTTGCTGAGACAGAACGGCCTGTATGCACGTCTTTGGGAAACGCAGACCCAGCAGTTCGATCCAAGTCGCCTTACCGATGAAACACGAAAGCAGGCCGCAGATGCTTGCTAGTCCCGTGCTTTTAGTTTCAAATGTTGTATAAAATCCCCCCCGTAAAATTTATTGGACCATATTGTTTCTCTACCCACAAAATTTTTAGTAGAGGTCACCAAAGTCAGATGTTTTATTATTTAGGCAAAAAGTAAAATTGTAAATACAGTTATATATGTATGCATATTGTCGTAAATCATTCTTTGCCGGCTGGTGAAATGTTATGGAAAACCCTTGTGTATAAAATTTATTGCGGGCTATTTAAAACTGAAGTTTTTTTTTGATTCTCTGTTTCCAAAAACTGCATCATCATTTTAGTTTCAATCATTGGAGACCCAGCTAGAAATGGATTTATGCATATACTTGAACATTTATTATCATTTTTATCACCCATACATTTTGTTATACTTAATTACTTGTTAATAGGTAGTTAGGCATATAAGGAAACATTTACAGTATAATATGTACTATATATCATCAAATTAACACATAGAACTCATTTCATTCTTAATCTCTCTCCCGTATGGCCAGTGGAATGGGTACATCGTATAGCAGATGGAGCACACAGTTGCCTAGATGGACTAGAAAGCGTTGATAGTTTTGTACACGCTGCTCGAATTCCTGCCAAAGCGGCAGCATCGGCCGGTTCAATGTCTGTGGGTTGTCATTGATAACAATGCCCTGGTCCAGCATTGTCTTGTTCACATAGGTGTACAAATAGGAGGCGGGCTTTTGTCCAATTGTGGTCACATAATGGGTCACATTGCTTTCCAGGCAAATGCTTTTGCCGGCAGTTAGGAAATATGCTTCATCTTCATTGGCACTCTTGTACCTCACATTCCCATCCAGTATGGTTAGGGTGCAGTTGATGAGATCTGCAGCAATAAAGTTGCTTAAAGTCAGTCCCGGAAAATCTGCTACGAAAATGACATCTGAGTAATTGCTCCAGGCCAGCACCTCATCAGTTATGGTCTTCAGCTTGGGGCGCATGTCATTGAGCTCGGTGAGCAGAGGGAGCGACCAGGAAGTGCGCTCAAACGGCGACCATGGAGCCCTCAACAAATCGACACGCGGATCAAATGTACGCTGCTGAAAGCGCCCATTCATGGAGCACCAAATGTCAAAGTAGATGGATATATTTGTGCCTGTTAGTGGACTATTCTGTGGATCTTTTGCTATATCCTGGCGTATATTGCGTTCAATGCATTTCGCGTACTGTACAGCCATGTCTGCGTATTTGGTCCATCGGTCGTACTCAGTAAAGGAATAAGGATTTAGGTAATGTACCTGCTGATTATCATTGTCCACCACTTTGATTGTCGTCAACACCGTATCGTAGGAGTGCATCATCATGTCCCAGGAGTAGCCGTACAATCCATTCGTCCAATTATTGTAGCCCTTCGTGATGAAGTGTGAATAGGGCAAGAAAAGCTGCAGAGCGCAATAGCCGAGAATTGAAAAAGTCCGCAGCTGTGCCGTCCAGCTTGGCCTAAGTGGGCTGGCAGCCTTCTGCATGGCTTCAGTGTTCTCGACGTGTCCTGCGTTGGGTTTTGTTTTGCCTGATCCGCACAAGGTGCGCAACTTTAGCTTCCGCGGCCAATCGAATCCAAAGAAGAGTGGCACCTCAGCCAAACACACCCATGGGAACATGCCTGAAATTATGCCAATTATAAAGTCAGCCTTTATTAAGAAGCTAAAACTGGTTATTATACTCAATAGACAAGAAGAAGGATCCATCTCAAGACTTTTATGGGAAACAGTTTGTGTTTTTTCCCCAATGTGTTTTTACATACATTTATACTCTACATAAAATTTTCCTACTACCCCCGATACCCCAACGTTGAGAAGCGTATCCTTGTAGGCTCTCTTTTGATTCCAGCACCAATCAGCTTGCTATCTTTTTAGATTGCATAGGAAATATTTTTTAAAACGAATTAGCAATTTCTTCTAGTGTTTGAAATCTGAACCGAGCCTGGCCAACCAGACTTATCAAAGAGCTAGGACTCATACTACGGCATATGTTTTTTTTTCATACTCACCCTTACATCAGTATCTACATTCTACTTACCTATTACAAATAAACGCGAGTTCATCAAATGAAAGCTCAGCATAAAAGGAGTAACCAGCAGCCGCGTCTTCTCGCATGTCATGAAAAAGGCAATAGAGAAGTCAAAGAAGGCAGTAAACCAATGCACAATGAGCAGATCGATGAGCTCCGAGTCCAACAGCTGGCGAAAAGGTGTAAATACCCAATGATGACTTAAGCTAGACATGGCATAGCCAGAAAGCCATTCCATTGAGAATTTCTTTAGGCCAGCATACATGTAGAGTAGAAAGAACTGGAATTTGACGAGAAAGTAATTCCAGTATGGAACTGTCGAGCTTAATTGCGGATTCAGGTATTTGTCCAGCGAGCTGCAAATTAGTAAAGTTATCATTTGTATCCCAATAGGTCTCTAACCCTACGAACCAATAGTGCTGCGCCTGCGTAAACAGCAGGAGCGTTCCCACCAGGCCAAACAGATAACTGTGATTATTCCACGTGGGCTTGTCCAGCAGAAATATGTACCAGTATGGCACTATAAATGCCAGGCAGCTGAAGCGAAAGCGATAGCCTAGCATAATGCCCCAGGCACCCAACCACATACACAGATACACACAGCCCATTAGTGGATAGTCCAGGACCTGCAATCCGTCAAAAAGTGGAAAATGGCAGTGCTGGGGCTCGCCATAACGCACATCCAGCTGGCCACCCCCACGTTCCTCGGCAATGTCGATGAGCATGGCCGCGCCTGGCATAGGAGCAGACAATCAGTAACCGGGACAGATGCTCCCTAACTCCATACTCACCGTAAAGCATGCGAAAGACGCCTAGGGCGGCGCCATCCACTGGCCTGTGCAGCCAGTGGGTAATACGGTCATAGCCGGCAAAGTCTGTAGCCTCATAGCCAGTGCATTGTCTAAAAAGGGTGGCGGGTAAGTTGACAGGCGCTCTGCCTTTTGTGGGTGCCTCTTCCGCTGGAGTCGTTGTGGCTTTTGATTCATTTGGAGTTGGGCTGCTCGTTGAGTTGGGTTTGCTGGGCTTGCGCTTGCTGTTGGCCATTGCTGAGAAAACTGCAGTGTCTACAGACCAATAATCGGTTAATAGTAGAGTGACAAGAGTTTAAAGCTTTGGCGGCAAAGAATTACTCGTTTTCTATTCTATGTCATAATCTTATCTGTTTGATATCCCGGAAGTGCAAGATCTTAATCCCAGATATACATTTTTAGTGGCCATCGAATGAAAATCATACAGTATTAGTGGTAGTTAGGATATTAATTCTGTATTGTACCTTGTTCTTAAAGCTTTTAAAATATTCATCACCTTTTTTTTTGAGTCTGATATGATTCCTGTTCAATTGTTCTTATTAATTAAGAATTGACGTTCCTTTAACAAAACTTGCTCTCTCTATTACGCAACAAATTAACTAATTCATCAATTTTGTTTAAGCTTCAGAGAATAAAGAAATAAGAAACCTTATCCTTAACTTAAAACTATTTCATGGCTAATTATATGAATATCTCTAGGAAAAGTTATTACCGAACTAACCATTATTATTATTACGTGTTTACCGATGAAATAATAAGTAAATCAGGTAGAATAAAACAATATAAAGTACAGTTCCTTGGTTTCAGTTCCTTGAAAGGAATATTACGGATAGATATGCTTCGACTAACAGCAGGAAGCAATTACAACACATAGCAAAGTCAAAGAACAATTCCTAATTAAATACAATTAGATAACAATGGATAGAAGAAGAATAAATTGATGATGTCGCAGTCATTTGAGAAGAGTTTCGAGGTCATGTTTTGAAAATAAAATATGTTTGGTGAACTCTGAGGCAATGTCGAAAGAAAAGCTCCCCAACCAGCCTTTCGATTTGTATATATTTATAGTGTAATTGCATTTCCCCACCCTTCACTAAAAGTTAATTGCTTCGCTTTTGTAGAATTTATTGAAAAAGTTGACATAAATACATGCATGCATATTGTTGGTGTATACTAAATATATATAATATATGTATGTTGGTTTTCGTTTCTTGCATAAATATCTACGGCTCGCTCATATTCACCTGCCCCTTTGTGACCGTCCCCCGCACGCCTCCAGCCGCAGCGACTTTCAATCGTGGGGAGGAAAACGTGTGGAGGTCCGTTGCAAATACAAGTACATATTGCTCTCGTATTGTGGTTGTTTTGTATTTTAAAAAAATCATTTACGAAATATATATATTCATTTGCCATTCTTGAGTTTATTGCAACGACCATCCATTATATATTTGGCTCCCTCGCTCGTAGCTCGTATGGCCAATTGCACCCATTTATCGCATGAACAGTTACGAATTGTTTTTGTCTTTTATTTCGGACATTTCTTGTGGTTGATTGGTTGTTGAACATTGTTTTCCATTTATTTCCTATACTTTGGAATACACAAATACATATATTTTTGTTTGAATAAGTTTTACAATTTTCCATTGTTCATTCAGTGGTTCGCAAAATTTCTAAAAAATTTTTGGAACAAGCTTTGAAAATGCCTCAAACTACGCATATGACGAATACAATAATTGTAGACTGCTTTTTGCATTAAATATATTTTGTTAATTGTTGCTATAATTAAGTTGTTCATATTGGATTATTTTTTAATAAGACTTGACTTTGCGTATTTGTCTCCAGAATGTTGAAATCACGTACAACATAACAGGTATGTGATACAATAGTTTTGATTGAAATTATTTAAGAGAATTCAAATGAAAATCAATTCTGTGGTGTGTGGTAGAAAGTTAATTATTTAGTTATCTTTTAAATACGGTCTTTAATAAGTTTCGGTGATTTTTTATTTTGCATTTGTTTTGGTAAATTTAATTATGACAGTAATGCATAAGTGACTAATAGTTTTCTTGACCTCTGTCGAATTACATACATTTTACTTGTGTTTTTCCATTAAAATATGATTAGATTTTATTTGTAAATATCTGTTACGCAACGCTAAAACATTTTAAAATGCATTCTCAAAGTTAATGTATTAAGTATTTAGTGTGTGTTTTTGGTTTGGTTTGTCTGGTTTGTGTTTTTTTTCCCAACTTGTAAGCTTTGAAAGTTTTTTAGACAAAGTTTTCGAGTGTCAAAAATTTCATACAATGGCCCCGTCTCCCACTCTCTTAGTTGTACGAGACGGCAAAAAGAACGAAAGAATATACATATATGCATAAATATGCTCTTGTTGTTGTTATTATTATTGTTGTTGTCGCTAAGAAGAGTTTGCATGCCGGCGACAGTGCCAACAACCCTCACTGCATATTATCGTAAAAACACCCACCATCGTGAAGGCGGTGCGCAGGCGCAAGCTCTCCAACTCACCGGCTCTCTAGCTCTCATACTCTCATACTCTCTCGCCATTGCACTCTCTGGCACCCCCTCAGTTGGTGGGCACCTTAAGGGCGCTCTATATGCGATTCTGATTCAGCTGAGAGCGCGGTGTAAACGGACTAACCATAACACCGCTGGGCCAAATCGCCTCGTTGAAGAGCTCGTTAAAACGATAGTCCGGTATGGAAATCTTGAATTTGCAGTAAGACAACTGCGAGAGATTGGCATCGTTCTTGACCAGCTTGGTGCACTTCACCAGATTCTTGTTGATCTTCAGCTCTTCGGCGAGGTGCTCAATGATATCGTCCTCGCTGGTATTGGTCGCGAACTTGCCCACCTGAACCCAACGTCCGTAGTCGCAGACGACCTGCAATCGATCCGAATTGCAATTGTTGCCGACTACAATCAGATTGTTCTGCTGCGAAAGCTTTTTGCAGTCCAGATTGTTGGGAGCATTGTTGCCGAACTGGAAGTACTGCTGATACATCCGTCCCTGTATCTGATTGACGCCATTGCACACCTTGTTCACCTTCTCCTCGATGGTGTGCAGCTTGGTGGCCAGTATCTTGGGCGATTGATTTTTACACTCATCACAGTTGAATGAAATCATTGGGTTCTTCTGTATCACATCGTAGATGGCATCGTCGATGTTCACGCACGTACGGTGGAACTTTTTCAGGCAGTCATCCGAATTGCAAATTATGATTGCATCCTTAGCGGCAATTGATTTTTTGCATTTTGGGCAATTTTCGGCCATTTTGCAGTCAATTGTCAATGTGTGCGTGTGTTCAAGACAGAGAAGAGAACGAGCCAAGAAAAATACAGACACAAACACACACACTCACGGACACAACGATTTACAAGAACAGCAACAACAATGCACTGCCTCTGGCCTCTGACTCGGAAATATGAACGATAGTCGACTGTTCTGGTGTTTTTCCTGTTCTGCTCTATTCTGGTGTGGTGTCTCTGTCTCCGGTTCTGTCGGTGTGTTTGTGAGAAGTTTGTTAAAAATTTAAGGGAAAAAGAAACGGCGACGACTACGACACAACTGTAACTGTTGTTTCCGTGACCGACTACCGTACGCTCCGAAGATTGCTGTTCAACTGAGCCAACAGCCCCGATAACGACTGACAACCCTTGTGAAAGCTCATTGTTTCAGCCAAAACCACCCTTGTGTCGAGCTCCCGTACGGTCAGTGTGTTCTGTGCTTTCTTTAACCACTATATGAGCCATTTATTCCAAAAGTCCCTTATTGCTGATAATACTCTATGCGGCTCTTATTTGAATAAATCACAAAAAAGAGTTTGTATGATGAACAGGTTTTATAACTGAACTACTTTAACTACAAGTAGTTAATTAAGAAATAGGAAATGACATTTTCACATTACATAGAGAGCAATACAACCGTAACTTATTTATAATTTGCATGCAAATGTTGTTCGCCACATTTTACATAAATATTTCAATGCAAGGGTTTGGTAATTACAAAGTGTGTCTGAATATGCAATAAATATTGTACGAGTATTTTGCGATAATGCACCTGTTACTTTCCAACTCACTACTTGAGTGGCCGTTAAATATGCAAATTAGCTGCATTTTAATGTTTATTTACAGTTATCTTACTCACTCAGTATCAATCGTAATTTAATTGGATAAGAAATTATATTATGTAGAGAAAGAAAGACCGAAATATTTACAGATTATTTCAAAATAATTTTTCACCTGATTTGTGGAAACTTATGTTGTAAAAAAAAAATATTGAAAAGTATTGAGACAAATCCTCGGTGAATTAGTGTAAAAATGATTTACATATCTGACTCTTGTTTGGATATTTGTTATTCGAAAATTATTAAATATCTTAGGTATTGAAATTAAAATATTTAAAATGTTGCTTACTACTTAAAGTTCATAACATAGTCAAGCTTGACTTATGGAGGGGATATTGTACTGTTTTTAAAACATAGAACAAAAACAGGTACTTATACAAGTAAACGAAAGTTTGCTAATCGTAATTAAGAATTGAATAAATAAAGATGGAATAAGGATTCATTTTAGGGTATATACTGTATTCTAAACATATTTCCATATTAATGTGTAGTATTATTTGTACAAATACTGTAGTATTGAACATATATATTTGGGCACCATCTCTGCACTGTTTTGTATGTAACATTAAATTGGCCAATTTTGGCTTGTGTTTACGTTTCCTTGCCTTTCCCTCAGGCAGTTATTGGAAAGCTCAGAGCACACATAGTATAACGGAATCAGTTGTAGGGCTCTTAAATATATAAACACAAGCCAAGCGGCAAATAAACACTTACCTGTCCGAACTCAGTAGCAGGCAAAGAGACAACAATTTAGGTGATCCTTTTAGGTTTTCACTTGCAATTTTTGTGTTTATTTTCGCAACAGTTTGTAGCTCGGACGCGGCAAGCGATCGGCTTGACTTCAGGAGCGAACAAAAGCCACGAATAACGGGCCGTCAACTGAGGCAGTGCGCATTAGTTGCGCCCTTTTTATACACAGCATGCTGAGATGAATCTCCCGAATGCCCGCCCACCCTTTTTGGGATTGCGTTGGATGGTCGGCGGCGGTGGAGTGTCGGTCTATGTGGGTGGTAATGTGCGCATGTCCTCGCGAAGCAGCGACTGTGCTAGCCAGCCAGACAGCAACAACAGTGAGAGCGCGTTAATAATAAAAAAAAAAAACAAAATACAAGTAAAAATGCAAATAGAGTTCACAGGTGTGAAGGTGCGCCCTTACTGCCGCGGCTAAGGTTGTGGCTGCGAGCTTGCAGTTGTTTTTGTTTGCTTTCCGCAACCGCCTCCAACCCTCTGCCCCGCCGTGGTGCTAACACTTGGCCACCTCTGCTGTTGGGCTTAACGGACGGCTTTGGTAATTGGGTTTCATTAAGTGGCAGAGCGCAACGTTTTCCGTTTCCTTTGTTAGCGCCAACGACGATGGCGACGAGGGCGGGGATGGTGACGACGGAGATGGCAAGGATGCCTTGTTAGCGGTGTTCCAGTTTTGTCGCTTGCATTGTCAATAGATTTTAATCAGGTGTGGCAAGCATAGTAAACTGGCGCCTAGTCCTGCGTCAGTCCGGACGCTGTGCCTGTTTATTTAAATATAAACATTTCACTTTGTATTCAGTTTTATTTTTATTGTCGTGTGGCTGTTTGCGTGCAGGCGTCAGCGTAATTGTTATTTATGTATTCAATACGCAGGGCACACGTGCCTCTCTATAAATGATGCAGACTTTTATGCCAAGTGCGTAGTAGTTCCTCTAGTTGTTTGCTCTAACTTTCGCATAAAACTGCCGGCTGATCGAGTTCAGCGCCTGGCTGTATGCTACGTTTATTTTTTCACTTACTATTTCTGGCGCGCTGATTTCAGCTTTCAACTCGTTGTTGCTCTTTGCCTCTTAATGTGCTAAAAAAAAGTACTCAAAAAAAGCAATGGGGTGGACTTCCACAAATCCAAAATAGGTCTGTACATCTATGACGTCATCATAGAAGGAAAGTAGTGAAGTGAACTTTGAAAATCTAACGAAATGCTTTACAAATTGCATATTTCTATTAAAATCTGACAATAATACTGAAAAATCCATTGTACTTATGATTTGCACAGCACAGGCTAGAAGTACCACTCTTAGAAATTTTCTGGCCTCCACTGCGTATGAGTGATGCAAATATTATTTTAAATGGGTTTCCCAATATCAGCCATATTTAAAATAAATTGGAATTTTCCCTTTTAGATTATTCAGTTTTTTTTACTAACCCCTGAAAGTTTAATACTCTTTGTTTTTATTGAGAAGTACCGACTCTATTTGAAATGATAGAGCCCCTTACTATTTCATTGCAAGTTTCAAAATTTTGTGGCTTTCGGAAGAGCTAATACTGATTATAGCTGTAAAAGTAAACGTGTTCTCAGAATTAAAAATAAATTGCACTATATTTATTTTAACCAGATGTTCAGTTGTAGCAAACATTTTAACTTTCCTCATTTTCCTCATAACTAATAATTTTCAAAAACTAATTTTCTTTTTGTTCGCTAATTGTTTAATAATTTAGTCCCACAGAATGTCTCAGGTTATATTTGAAACATTGAAGCCAATTCATTGATTTAAAGAAAATCCGAATATATTGGTTTTCGTTTATTTATTTATTTAAATAATTATGTATTTCTTGGGTGCAATTAATCATTAAATTAATTAGTATTATTATTATTGTTTATATGTATAATGTTCATATATATTTATATGTATATATAGATTTCAATTATTTGTTTTTCCTGTTTACGTTATCCAGCTCATCTTGCACACCTATGTAAAACATTCGCCAACTTGTTAATTCCTAACTCCTCCTAACGCCGAACAGACTCCAACTTTGTCTCAAATAGTCATTTAATGTACCAACTACACGATGTACATACAAATATTGTTATACGTTTCCTTCCGTGCTTCATTCAGTTACTCAGTTGTCTCGGATTGTTATTAAAATCAAAACAAAAAGTGAATCTTTCTCTATTTACTGCACATACATTTTTGCTGCTAGTTATTATTTATATATGTATGTATGTATACACGCGTATGTGTGTTATGTATATTTATATGCATATGAAAAGTGGTATGGACATGTTGGAAAAAATATGCATACAGCTTTAGGCGACATATTGTACATGCTACGAACATTGCTAAAAATACCTGCACTTGTTTTAAATATTTAGTTGATTACAGACAAGTGTGTCTGCTTGTATGATTCTTTTGAATAACTTTTGGTTTTTGCCTCTCTCTAATGGTTATAGTCTAAAGGCAAAGCACTTTGGGCAGGCGCATGTTTAATTGTGTATACTTAGGAGCTGCATCACGCATTGGCCCTACGAACAATGATTGTTTAATAAATTGAGGGAAAACGTAAGTACAATATGTGCTAAGTTTGAAATTGTTTAAAACCCTATTTAAACTTGGTTTGTAAGCATTGAAAATATGTCGACGATTAATGTGCTACATGAAAGTACTTTCAACAGTATCTTTTGTTAGTTCAAACATTGGCTATGAGAAGGTGAAGTTTTGTATTTTTCTGTGTTTCTTTTTTTAAACTCTACATAAATGTTTTTGTTTTAGAAAGTTTGTGTTTTTATATGCACTAAATATTTCCCTTTGTTTGTAAAGTTTTACACAAAGTTTATTAATTATAACATTCAAATATACATATATGTGTTGTTTGCTGTTATTGCATTATACCTTTCTTTTTAAAATAAAATGTTGCCATCATGAACAAATTGTGTCAAGCGCTTAATTTAATCGTTGAACTGTTTGTTTTTTTATTTTTTAATAACCATTTTCTTTGCCTGTCTTTAAAAACAACTATTTAACAATATTCGCTCGCTACTTAGAACCAAAAATGCCAAATAAATACATTCAGTATATATTTTTGTATACACTTGCTTGCTAATTCCATTCATGTTTGTTTATTTGTTGCTATCTTTTTCTACAATTTTCCTTGGATATTTATTTTTTGCACTGAAAACTTATATGATTACATTTATATATAGGCATGTAGATTAGTTCTGACCAACTTGGCTGTTAGCGGTACGGACTTTCTCTTTTTGGATTACACACACATTTAAGATATTTTTATTTAGGAACAAAAGCTTAGATTTTGTCTATAGCGCTGGTTCAAAAGTTTTACATTTGTTCCAAATTCATTTTTGTTTTATTTTTTAGCTAAGGAAACTGAGTTTAAAGTGCTGCACAGACGCGAAGGTCCTTTGCTTCTGGGCTCCTTGTTGCCAGCACAGAGCTAGTAAGTACAATATAGATGTTCATTTTAATTCATATATAAATATAGCATACTTTTTTTTGCGTTAAATATTTATTTATATATTTATTATATATATAGCTTTTATGCATGAAATAATGTAACCATAAACAAATTAGCAACAACTTTATTTTGTCCGGAGCGTCTTTTAGAGGTTTATTAGAATTGCTAGTATCAATATTATTATGAGTGGAAATTATTTTTGCCATTGAGATTTCGCTATAACTGAGTTTTCCTTATGTTCTTGAAGTGCGTCGTCACACCTTTATGTTTATTTAAGATTTCGCTGCCAGGCTTTACAAGTAAATGCCCTCAAGAATTACTTATACGCCGCCCTCGTGCGCTTTACCAGCACCGACTCCATCATCGACCAGAGCGGGTTGTCCTCCGGCTGCGGGCTGCGCCTGCTGTGGCGGCGGTGGTGGCATATACTGCGGATACTGTGGATACTGGGGCGGCTGCTCACCACCTATTAGGCCTAGTTTATCTGTGAGTGGGTGGAGATTGAAAGAAGAGAACGTTAAATTTTAGATAAAGTAATTTAGATTATATATCATTGCTCATTGGAATGACAATTACATTGATATATACGCCAAAAATATTTATTACACTTTAATGGAGGTCTAACAAATGGTTGGGATTTTATTAATAATGATTAGAATATGAAATAGATGAATAATGTACCAAATTTTTGTTCCCTTGCTAAATATGATTCGTTTCCTCACTTGCTCTCAAACTTTTCTTAAAATATCATCAGGCATGGCCCACATTCTCCTTTATATTTACAACACATGTGAAGCTCGGTACTCCTACCTATGTACATTCGAATGGCTTTGGAAAAGCTTAATTTTTGCAGGCAAAAGGTGTATCTGGACAGGGCAACTGCTCTATGTCTAGGTCGTTCTGAAGTACACTTTCTGACATACCACGTTATTGTACCCACCATCTAAACGCCTAATTCTATTCTAACCTTTACATTTCGATTTGTAATCTATAACAAAACGAACTTATATTAAACGATATAGAAAAGGTTGCAACAATAGCAATTCAAATGCAATTGTTATATCTGTCATGCTTAGAGTATTTCTGAATTTGTTCCAAATATTTGTCTTGTGGAAAGTTAATTGAGAAGAACAGATTGTTCTGATAATGTATCGGCAATATTAAAAATACCCGTATAGCTATTGTGGCTTCGCATATACTTAATTTCAGTCGTTAAAATAGGAATTTTTATCTTGAAACTCTATGCCCTAATAAGTATGCTATTCTATATTAACAAATTTAAACCTTTTATCAAATCCTCAGTTAACTCACCAATTGCAAAAGTAACTGTTTATATTGTTATTGCCAATCCGTCCCCATTATTTATTTATGCCCAACCACTATTCGTCTAAATTGTCACACAAAGCTGTTTGGTGCATTAAAAGGTAACAAAATTGTCCACAAAAAACGTAAAACCAAAGCGCACAAAAATAATTAAATGCAGAGCTCCTTAGGGTCGGGAGTCAACTGCTTACGCAGGACAACTAAAGTGCAAGGGGTGGGCAGTGGGGAGGGCACGGATATTGCCCATTGCTAGAACTCGAATCAAAATAATAAATTAACACAAAATTTGAACACGCATACATGAAAAATGAAAATGGCGTACAATAACTCACACGCATGCAGCTAAAATGATATTTAATTTGCTTGTAATTACATATGTAAATAAACGTCAATAAAACATTCAATGAAAAGCGCACGTGTAAAGCCATGTATGTAAATTTTTGCTATTGCTTACAGTGTTGCAAAATATCTTTTTGATTTTGATTTTTGAGGCTGTTTTGTTTCTAAACAAAGTGTGAATGTTTTGATATTTTCATTTTTTTTTTTTTTGTTTTATGTGATTTGAGTTAGTAGAGTTAAATAAGGCTCTCGATCTTTTCTTGTTGTGCTGTTGGTTTTTAGCGTTCTATTGTCCTGTCGCCACTTCATCCGTCGGACTCTGTGGTATGGTCAATTTCTCAGCCAATGGAGTTTTCTCGAGTGTTGTTGGTTCAGGTTTTTGTGTATGGTGTGGTTCTGATGCATGACTGTCGCCTACATATACTGGCTGTCCCTGCTGGAGAGCAGGAGGAGCAGCAGCTTCATCCGACATGAACGATTCTACGAAAAATTTTTATATTTTTTGTTTGTTTATAAACCGAATGGAATCAAATTCTGGATTTAAATGAGTATTAGTTGATTAATGACTTTTTAAATAATATTCATAAATTGACACAATTTTGAAAAATGTAGATTAAAATGTAATAGGAAAATGAAAATATTTTAAGTGGTGCGCCTATTTTTAGCAATAAATGCTAATGAGTTTAAAATATATTTAAACTTTTTTTTTTACCTCACAAAAGAAAACTGAATATTGAAGATGTGACTTGTGATAATCTTATTTTAGATTAATTATTAATATTGATAAAACTTCAGAAATTATTCTTCGTCTTTCTCTGTAAGTGTGGCGAGTAAGAAACAGTGTTGGAATTGTTAAAATTAATGTCAAAATTATATAAAGTTTTAAACTAAAACTAATAAACATAAGAAATTGCAGTACTTTATGCATTTGCTGTATAAGTTAGTTTCTTGAAATTTGTTTGTAGAGTTGCGCTACATTTACGTATTCTAAGGGGCGTGTCGTGAGTTTAGCGTGGGTACAAATACATATGTTACAAAGGAAATAATTTAGTTAGTAAGAAATACTTGGACTGTTGGTGGCTGTTGGATTATTTTTAAATTCTGTGTTCGTGGGCGCCAATATATAAACATAGAGATTAAACTAAAGACGTAAACGAAAACTGTAAACATATTACTGAACAAACCACAACGTTACGTTAACTATTTTTGAACACAAATCAATTAATGTTACGTCCTACAAATTACAAGAGATTATTTCTCAACTATACTAAATATGGTTGGTTTTTGGGTATTTATTTGTACTGTTGCGAGGACACTTTGTATACGTGTACGCTGTTTGGAATGTAGCAACCCAAACACTTAGAACAATACACATATACACAATGATATTTCTATAAAGTAGGTACTTATATAAAAGGACCAACACACGACACGACTGTTTGTTGGCTTCAAATCAATTTACCAAACCTGGTGCGTTCTTTTTGAGCGTATGGAACCAGATGATGTTGAAGGCATGGTATTTGTGGTTGTTGGAGCGCATGATATGCTAGTACATTTTAGATTTTTGATGATTGATCGATCGTTTCATGTGACAATAATTTAGCGTTAGAAAATTACGTAAGGCGGCAATTCAATTCAATTCAATTCTTCAAGCGCTTTTGCTTTTGACTTTGTTTTTTGATTGTTGAACGATCATCAAACGAACGAACGATGACAGTTGGACTGTGATTTGTTTCTATGGTTAGTTATCAGTTTTCTAGCAGTAGTAGTTAAATAATTTGGAATTTGTTGGGTTCTTTGCGCTGTAACTAAGTTACTAGTTTCTTATAGTTTAGCAAACTACATAAAGTTACCTAGAGAAAAAAAATTGACGGAATAAAAACGAATTTAGTTTTGTGTATAATAAAGGGAAAAATTAAGTTAAGTTAACGAAATCAGCAACAAGAACACTTAAAGTAATTTTGTAAAAATCAAAAGCGAAAATAGATTTTTTTTTTTTTTGTTAAGAATCGGTGTTGTTGGTGAATGCGTGTTTCTGGTTCTGATATCTGGTGGCTGTGTCAGAAGCAATTGTTTCAACACATGTTGTAAACATAGTTGTTGTTGTTTTGGTAGTTATAGTTGTGATAGTCTTGTAAATTGAACATCTTTGCTGCTACAATCAACTTACTTGCTATAATGCCAACGATGACAAGACCAATAACGCCCATTATTATCATCATCTGAAAATTAACAAGGGAAATTGTACAAAATCTTATGGGAATTGTGATTCTTTGCCACTGACCTTCAAATTTTGCAACCAGAATTTTCGTTTTAGCTTGCCCGCCTGCTGTTCGAACTGCGAGGCACCCTGTTGCAAGGCATCCGCGCGATCATCCAGTTCCGAGAGTTTCTGATCGCGTTCCAGCACCTTCTCGACATTCGTGCGCATAATATCGACGACCTGTAAGAATTGTCGTCAAATATGTGTTATTATTTGAAAATAAATGCCAATTTAATAAGAAATTTTAAATATTAATTTGAAAAATATCGTTTTAAAGTTAGTGCGTTTGACATAAATATAAATATATAATAAATTATATAAATATATAAAAGAAATAATAAAAATATATATAAATGTAAACTAGAGTTTACTAAAGAGTCAGCAATTGCACATATACAATTGTCTATAAAATGGTGAAGCAAATTTAAACGTCAAGATGAATAGTTAAATACTAAAATACATTAAAGAGGGAAACTTTAAATCCTAGTGACAATGAAATAAATAATAAAAAGTGGTAAATAATTAGTACCCGGTTTTTTTATTAAATGAAAGCGTTTAAAGGTAGTACAATTAAAAAAAAATGTATAAAATGTTGTGACTGAGAAGAAATTAATGTTTCTACAATATATTATGATATTTCAATCCTGTACGTAAATAATAACTCACCTCATCGACTTGTGCCTGTGTCTGTTGCAAACGTTTTTGTGCCGCAATTTGTTGCGGGTTGCGTGGTCCACCCACAATCTCACCATCGCCACCTTCTCCAGCTGGTGCGCCATCGGTAGGGGGTGCATCTCCAGCTGCTGCAGCGTCCGCCCTGCATTAACGTTAGGTTTGGGGGAGGGGTGGCACAGCCACATTAGTAATGGGTATAAAAATAGAAGCTTTGCAATATGAGCCCAAATTTGTACACAGGTATACATATGTATGTATGTACGTATGCAGGTCTATATAGTAGTATACGTATACTTATGTATGTACGTGAAACAACTTTTAACTATATAATGCTACATCCCTTTTTGAATGGGTAAATGGAGACTTCAAATTTCACATGATGTACATTGGTTTGGGCTACATTATGCATGACATGATAACTATAGCTTTCAAGTACATATTTGCAAGTTATACACAGTGCGCGAATTCTAGCCGGCTACAAAAACAACAGGCACATCGCACGCACTTACTCTTCTTTATTTTTCTTGTCTTTCTTGCCCATATCTAAATGGCACTGCAGAAAGCGGAGTAAATATCAAATCGTAAATAAATCATATTAAAGTCAATCTATACAGTAGACCTGCAACGTCTTAAAGTTTATCGATTTTACCGTGCAGGCAATGAATCATAGCAAGAACTGCAGCCACAGCAGCTTGATTTAGAGCCAAACAAGGGGCAGTCTGATTAAAGAACCTTCCCACAATTAAAATTCCGAGGCTCACAAATATATGTACATATGTATGTATGTATATATGTATGTATAGAAACACACGCCCAAAAGTGCCAAAAATGGCAACCATAACGAGTATTCATTGTAGGTGTAAATAAAAAAAAATTGCTTTTGTTTGTCAAAGTGGGCAAAAAGAGGCTAGAGCACAAGAGAAATCAATAATGTCCATCGCATATGTATAAACTTACATTGTTTTCTGGTTTTTGTTGCTGTTGCTTCTTCTGCTACTATTGTATTAACAAATTTGTTGCGTTGCCGTTACCGCTGCCTACTGTGCAATGTCGATATCGATGTCGGTTTTGGTTTCGGTATCGGTGTCTCTGCCCCCGTTAATTTTATGCACTTGGCCAACGTCTTTTACTTGAGAGGTGATGATTGCTTGGGTTGGGGCTGTTGTGGTTGTGGTTATGGGTCGCGACGGGTGCAGCGGAACTTTTGTGTTTCGTTGTTTTTGTTGTCGAGGGGTATGCTTACTCGCTCACACTCTGCTCCACTCTGCTGCCTCTCTTTCCAAAGCTTTATTTCGCCTAATAGCACGCAGCTCTATTCGTCAATGAATATTCGCTCAATGCGCGCACACACACACACTCACGAACAAGCACCTTACTGCTCAGTTACGGGGGACTGGCTGGCTAGATGTGTGTATGTGTGGGTTACACTCGCCACGGTTACCTCTGCGCCTCAATATAATACAGGAATCTTCTGGTTTTCTTGTGTTGAATCTGTTTTGGGTAGATGGGAATATGAATAATAATTTAAACTACTTTTATTATAGTTTATTGAATTGTTTTTTTTAATTGTTTAATTTTTTCTCTGTGGGCTGCATTCCTCCCACGCGAATGAAGTCTCTCCGATAAATGCATTTTATTTCCTCATATAAATTCTCTGCTGCATACCACAAGGGGCATTTTTTTAAATGCTAAATTTTAACGTTTGAGAACGTTTTCTTACGCTTAACAAAAGCATTTACAAGAATCAAATTTTCACTTGCGTGAAAAAATCAATGAAATTTTACACAGCAAAATTTTTTGTAACGCTGAACGTCGTTTTTTCAGCTAAAAATATAGTCATATTTTTAAAAGAATTGCGTTTTATTTTTAATGCAAATTTTATTTTACAAATCACTTTAGTATTATATATATTGGTTTAGAGAAATGTGTTTCAAAAAGAAAATATAATTTACTTTACGCAGCACAAAGAAAATTTTCACTTACGACGATTTTAGCCAACTGTGAAAACTTTCAGCTTTCCCAACTGTTATGTGTATTTGGGGAAAAAGCTCGCCGATGAGTGCAGTTAGTTATTAGCGAGTGAATTCAGCGAGTAGCTTTTTATCGCTATTATAATGTCAATATATTAAACAAACTCATAATCGACTGCTAAAGTTCACGGCTGTTCCAGCGGTTTTCTAAATTTTGTTTGTATCCAGACCCGATACATTTTGAGGCAACGTCCCCGATTGACCTGCAGTCGCCTATCCACAATGAGCTGAACTTCTTGTAGTCCCACAGCAGTAAAAAGGTCTCGTAGCTCTTGTTCCGTAAAGAAATACACCATTGTACCATCACCACGAACATAAAAGTTATCCTCTAAGCATTTGCCGCTCTTAAAGCGGAGCTGCGCCAAATCGTAGCGTCCATAATCGCGAAATAAAAGCAGACCACCTGGCCGCAAATACCGATAGCAATTCTCTAGAACTTGTTTCATTTTGGTAGGTTCAATTGCGGAGAGAACGAAGATCATTACAATAATGTCCTGTGAGTTCTCTTCGAATGGCACCTGCCATTGATCCTGTGTAGCATCCATCACAAAGACATCGCAGCGTCTATTATCGAACTGTGGTTGATTTCGCAAAATTTCAATGGCGCGTGCAGAGAAATCACAGCCGTATAACCTTAGTTGTGGTTCTGTGCTGTACTGTAATATGGGCAGAATGGTGTTGCCTACTCCGCAACCTAGCTCAAAAATGCTACGTGGTGCATCTATGGTTTCCATGGGCGCCAACTCCGGGAACTCTGTAAATAGCCAATGACGGTCCTTAAAAAAACGATTGTCGTGAATGCCATAAAAAGAATCCCAGAACTTTGGAGCATCTGCTTTAAAACGTTCGCGTTCATTATTGCTCATTTTGGTCTCCGAGTTCCTCTTAACAGCGGCTTCAGCCGCCTGCTCTTGTTCAGCATCCCATTCAACATGATCCCTGTAGATTGTTTAAGATGTTTATTTTAGAGCTCGTCTTTCAACGTGACAGTAGCTTTGTACCAGGCATTAAACTCGAACACTTCACGCGCATCTGTCAGTCTGCGAGATCCCGCACCCAAAAGTTTCTTTCGATTGCGCGTGTGTTCCCATTTTGTGCTGGCCAAATACCGTTGACTGGAGAGATATTTACCAAGCGTTGTGCTTAAAGACATCGTCATTGACCTTAAGCAGCCGAGTTCCAAATTGTGGTCGCTTCTCTTCAGTAGCTGTAGCGGTGCTGATGCTGTCAGCATGGACGTCAACTTCTGCATTTTTAGCTGTTTCATTGACTACGTCACTCATGATATGGTTTTACTTAGTGTTGATATTATTTCATGCAGATTATTTTGTAAACAATCCACCACATGGCGGTCAACGACAACAACAACAAATTTAAGGGCTGCAGTATGGCATGCCACAATATTCGAAGTTTCCATCACTTTGGTAGGGTGGCAACTACAAATAAACAAAAAGGTGGCAACTCCTAATATGAGTTAGTATAACAAAACCGCAACCAATTTTTTTTTGTAATGCTGCGCGTTGTTTTCTGCAACAAAGTGGACTTTTAAAACAATCAACATAAAAACATCGGATTATATTGTGAACTGGTTATATCGTGTACTTTTTACTTTTCCAAAATGATGAACGAAGCTGCTGCACTTGCAAATATGATACCCTACGACACAATAGGGCTGTACGAACAACCAAAGCCCAGATTCATCTTCAAGATGCCGCGCGTTGTGCCCGACCAGAAATCCAAGTTCGAAAGTGATGAGTTGTTTCGACGATTAGGACGCGAAAGCGAGATACGCTACACTGGCTACCGAGAGCGTAGCGTAGAGGAGCGCCAGGTGCGCTTTATGAATGGCTGTCGCGAAGGCCATACAGAGATTTCATTCGTCGCCTCAGGCACCAACCTGCAGCTGGTTTTTAATGCCAACCAGAACCCCTACCTGCACGATAAGGAATGTGATTTTGACAAGGAACACGGTAAAGTGCACATTAAATCGTACTTCATAATGAATGGCGTTTGTGTTCGCTTCCGTGGCTGGCTGGATCTGGAGCGTTTGGATGGTGTAGGCTGCCTGGAGTACGATGAACGTCGCGCCATGCACGAAGATGCAATTTTGCGCGATCAAATCGACCGTTATAACCAGCGGTTGCGTGAATTTGAGGACACCAAGCGAGCCTATCGCGACAACCGCCAAGATGAGATGGAGGCAGTACGACGTGGTGTGGCCTCTGGGGGCATTGGTGTAGGAGCTAGTATGTGGCGACGTTAGTTGGACTTTTGGGCGACGCCGTGGTCAGCAGCAGCGTCGTCGTCACAACAGCAGCAGCAAGAGACTCAATATGCAAATACTCAATATTTTATGGAAAACGGAAATGCTCCCTAATGCGCCGTAAAGCGAGATTTGAATATTTTTACGACTATATACTATACATATAGATAATTCTCTATAATATCCTCTTATTCTTAGTTGTAGAATTTAGTATATGTATGTATCTATTAATCTTTAATGCGAAAATGTAGTATTAAATAAACTTAATTCCAATAATCATCATAAATGATGACGCTTTTTTTAGTATGAAACGGTTGAAAAAATGACACATGCAGCTAATTTTAATATAAATTTTATTAACATTTTGCATTCGGCGTACATGAATGTAGATATATGTATATATAGTATAAATGTGTATAAGTATGTTTGAGCTTAGCACTAGACGGGGAAAAACACGAGCAAACGGCAAACCGAATTATTCCGTTTAACGGAACTGGAGATTTGAAATGCGAAGACCGATGCTATCTTTGCCAATTTGACTGACCTCGCACACTGTGCACAATCGACCCTTGTACTGTGGATCGAAGGAAGAGGCACAGAAGGGGCAGGTTATTTCAGGTTTGCCGCGGTACAGAGGCTTCCAGCTTATCCCGCAAATGTTGAAGGGATTGAACTCCTCGTATTGTAATTGATGCTCATCGACTGGATTGACTTCGCAGGCCTGCAGAATTTTGCGCACCTGCTGTGCAACATCCGGTCGTGGTCCAAGCTCCAGGAGACGACGCGCAAAGGACGCCGCTGTCTTGTAGTTTTTCAGCTTAAAGAACATATTGAGGGCTGTTCGAAGTGTGAGGATCTGGTGGACGGGCTGCAATTTGCAATGTGTAAAGTAGGCAGCCATCTCACAGAGACGTTTCTGCTCCTCAAGCGTTGACTTGGGCATACCCTTGCGCTCCGTTTCCATCTTGAGGCCTACAATGTATTCTGCGCAGATTTTCAAAAGTTGCTGAGCCTCGGCCACATCCAATTTTGTCTCAACAACTAACAGCGGTATGCTTATCAATATTGAATGGAATTTCTCGATAGCTTCGGTAAATTTGCCCGCAGTGGTTAGTTGATAGCCACCCTGAAGTCGCGATACCAAATCATTTAACTTTATGCCTAATGCTGGGCGCTGTAGTTTTGGATTTGTTTCACTAAAATTGCGCATAGGATAGCCGCTTAGCGATTTTAGATTGGGATTTGCTGTAAAGCTAGTACGAGCGCAAGTGTAGTTTTGCAAAAACAGTGTCTTGAATGGTTTGAAATTGACTACCCCGAGTTGGTCGTTAAGCAGCCTGAAGGCACTTTCAAAGGAACCAGCCTTGATGTGATCTAGCACAAGTGGCGAATGATTGGCCCATTGCTGTGCTGGTGAAAGGCCCTTGTTTGGTGCTGCATAATAGTTGCTGTCGAGGGCAGATGCTTTAATCTTAGATGCAAGCTCTTCGGGCACGATCAAATCATCGTCACCTACATCCCAACCGGCACCATCCTCACCACCAGCGCCGGCCTGTGGATCATCTGTACTGAGTGCGTCGTGCATTTCATCATCTCCATCATCATCCAGACCAAGATCGGCATCAGCACCCCAGCCATCGCCACCACCATTGTGATCGTCGAGGACAGCAGCATCAGCATTTATGTTTAAGGCCTGTCGGGCCGTGGCGCTGGTGCCGGCACGTGTAATCATCGCGCCCTCAAAGAAGCCTTTCGAAACTGTCAATAGTGGCCAGTTGGTCTCTAGCTGCTGTATCGGCACCGGCGGCTGTAGCAATATAGCATTTGGATTCACTTCCGGCAAACTAGTTCCCTGTGCTGCAAGAGCATCGCCTAGACTCTCGGTCAGCTCCTCCAGACCATGTGTAGCAGCCGTCAAATAAGCCAACGACAGTTGCCCGCAGTTCTTCAGTATATTGGTACGCTCCTTCACATCTCCAAGTAGCAATGCTCCCTGATACTGTGCTGAGACATCCTTGCGTATTTCCGCGATTTTGTTCATTTTCTTTAGCTTTTCCAGATTGCCAGTAATCAAATATAAGAAACTTAATTTGTCAAAATTCTTGGTACGTTGATAGCACATTTCCACGACCTGATGATTGCCCTGCATCAAAGCCGCCTGACCTAGACGGTCCCAACAATCCTTGTCATCCAGTGCCTTGGCTGCCTCCAAAGCGATCTCAATATTGCCACACTCCAGAGCCAGGCCAAAACGTGTCTTTTCGTCCTTGACAAAGTGCAGAGCTACCTCTGGATATCCCTTCTGCTGTAGATAAGCAATTATGCTCTGCCCCACAAGACGTGCATTGCGCACCATATGCAGGACTTCGTCATATTTGCGTTGGATTAGTGCAAGCTTGAACTTGTACTCTGTCGGGTCGATGTGGAGAACTCGTGTTCGGCATTCGCGATCCAGACAGAACACCTGATTGCCCTTGACACGTGTTAAGTAGATGGGTAAGTCAAGAGTGCGGATGATTCCATGATCGCCATTGGTAATCGCGTACTTGATGTGATTGCTTGTGGTATAGATGAAGACACCAGACTCGTCCCACGCACCCGATTTGACACGACAATTCTCCTGCACCGTGCACAAATACTGCAGGCGACGATCGCAAATGGTTACGGAATGTTTGCAAAGCAATGCTACCAATGACATATCGGGCGACCAGACTACATAACGGCATTTAGCCAATTTAATGCTGCCTACCGAAACCAATCGCTGTACTTCATAAAGCGTCACATACTCCGGATCACGTATAAGGAGCATGCCTGTGCCAGCATAAAAGATTTCCTCACAGAACGTGGGAATCTTTTTAGTCACCTCGTTCTTGAAGTTTTTGATCACCAATTGCTGATTACGATCCAATACGGCGAAACGATTACGTGCTACCCAGATAGCCGTGATGCCTGAACTACGTTTACTGTCCGACTCATTCTGGCTCTCACTCTCCTTGGGGATTTGGCACAGATCGTAGGTGCTATTCTCCAAATTGTTGGTGCGTACGCAAATGAGAACAGCATTCAGGGCCGGATTATAAGACATGCTGTACACAGGCGACTTGCCGGGACGCAGCTGCATGACCACCGTATCCTTCGTGGTGGTGAAGTCCAGCTTTCGCAAGAAACGATCCTTTACATAGTACAGCATATTTCCATGCACGGCATAGGCGGGACGCTCGCGTTCCAGCTTAAAGACCAACATACCTAACAAATATGTTTAATATTAATAATATTAGTAACTTATTCGCCCATTTTTTCCCTGACACTCACCTCCATCATGTCCGGCAGCGAACAAATTAAGAGTTGGATGAGCGGTCAGAATCCAGAATCGTTCACCGTCACGTCGGAATGTGTACAGACAATGGCGTTTGGTTATGTCCCAAACCCTAATGCTGCGATCCTCACCGTTCGAAATAATAAGATCCTGGCGCGGATGGAACAACACACAGGATACATTATTGTAATGACCACGGCAAGTGTCCACCTCCCAAGCTTTGTACTCGTTCATGCGCCACAATTTGACCAGACGATCATCGGCTCCCGAAACAATCAATGGCAGCGTCGGATGGAAACTGGCCCAATTTACGCCACGATCATGACCCTCCAGCACATGCTTGACCACAGCATCGGCTTGACCAAAAAGCTCTGTAGCTCCCGGATGCCCTTTTAAGTGTTCCTCTAAGCCCCCAGGACCTGGGGCGACATTCTTTTTGCGCAGTCCAGAAATATCCCAAACGCGAACCGTCTGATCCAACGAAGCAGAAACGATTTGATCCTCCGTGGGATGAAACTGCGCGCACATGACGTAATGATTGTGTCCAGTCAGCACACAAATGCAATTCCGTGATTGCCAATTCCAAATTCGGATGGTCTGATCATCAGAAGCGCTCAAAATCCAGGGGTATTCATGATGGAATGCCACTGTACGCACATAATCCAAATGAGCAAGTAATGTGAAAATGCAGCGACGTTGTTTGTAGTTCCACACCTTGATCTTATAATCGTCACCACCAGATACGAACAACGGCATCTGCTGATGAAATGCCACGCTGCGCACCGGTCCATCATGCTCATCGAACTTCTCCAACAATGTATGCATGCGATAGTCCCATAGTTGAATAACGCCGCTGTGCAAGCTGGTGAGGATCCATGGTCGTTTTGGGTGGAATGACAGACCCTTAACACGAGCCGATTTTGATTCAAAATTGGTCAACATGTTTGTGCTGATGTGGTGATATATGTATGTGTCGTGTTTCTTCTTAAAGGTGCTCCGCTGTCGGCTTTTCTTAAACGTCCACGTCTCCAAAAAAGTCAGCGCGAGGCACTTTGCTGTGTGCAAAAGTCATGGAAGAAGCACATATAATAATGTAATGATTTGAGTAAAATAAAATCAATTTAAATTAAGTGTTTTTAGATCAATTTATAAATAAACATACCAGTTAAACGAATTTTCCAAGTGACACGTCAATATCTGCTTCTTCTGCTTGATATCGTAAATAGCGTTGCCACATCAACCAAGTTAATCGAACAGCTGACGGGCTCATTGCAACAATTATCACCTGCATTTGTGAGGCTGCGTTTTTTATTATTGGCCTGAGATCGAAATTTTGGAATTATGTGAAGTTATATGAACCGATTGTAAATTGTATATTTCTACAATGACATTGGCGCATCGTGCGCTCTTCACGTGGTTCATACTACTGGTCTTTCTTATACTGCTTTGCCTACGCCTTGATCCTCGTACAACATGGAACTGGTTTGTGACGTTCATACCGCTGTGGATTTTCGACGGTATTCTTGTAATTTATGTTATCATCAAGATTATTCGGAAGTGGCGCAACCTAAAGCGTCTACGTGAGCTGCTCTTACTATACAAATGGAATATTAGTGGAGTGCTTTTGACAATTAGTTCGCAACTGTTTATCTGCCTTACTCTAGAGTTTCCGCAGGCAATACCCATCTATGTTACTATGCTGCCCATATCTACGCTTCTTCTTCTCGCCATTATCTATGTAGCCGGACGATTGCGAAAGCGTGAAGGATGGTTGTTATAAACTTGCCCATTATATATTCTTAAATATTAACATAAGTAAATATTTATTCTAAGTGTAAATACAATTAAATATATAATTAAAAGCCGTATTTGCTTTGCGTTGCACGACGCGTCTGTCGGTTAGCCGACCACATGGCCTGCAGTTCGGCTTCGTTGGCCTTAGCCTTGTGTGCCAGGTATGTGATTTGATGTTTGCGTCTTGTGCCGGCTACAGGCTCTTCATCGGTTAGCACGCCTGTGGGTTGGTAAGATGTTGACGAGGCCAGGGCGGTTCGCATCCATTCTTCACGATCGGGTAGAACTTCGGAGCCTGAGATGTCAATGACTTGCATTTCTTGAGCCTCCTTGCGGCGTCGCTTAGCATTTTTACCCACAAGTGCGTCCATGGCCTCGGCATTTAATTTTTGCTCGTGGTAGCGTTTTTGCACAAGTTGCAACTCTTCCAGGCTTGTGGTATCGGGTTCCTCACGCTCAGGAGCCTCCACAAAGAACTTATTGCTAGCCTCCACCATTTTGGCGGCCCGTTTGGCAACCAACGCGTTAATTTCGTTTTTGCTAATCTCTGGAAGCTTTTCCTCACTATGCAAAGAAAAGAAGTCTCCGCTGCTGTTTTCATCATCGTCGCTATCGCTTGCATTAACCAAAGAAGTTGTAGTATTGGTTACTGTTGCAGCTTTTGTTTGTGGCTTTTTCAATGGAATTCTGGTGCCATCGACGAATTCGGTGCTATATGCAGAACGACGCTGTTTTACAGTATCCGGTACGAAGGCTGGACATGGGTTATTAGCGGATGATGAATTGGCTGCTACTGAAGGGCCGGTGTCTTGCTTGATCGCTTCCTCGGTGTTCTTCTTTGTGAAGTCACGTTCAGATTTAGCTTGAGGCAATATACTGAGAAGTCCAGAGCCTTTAGATTTTCCAGGTTTTATTTCTCTGTTCTTTAATTTCTCTGCCTTCTCTTTGTCGACGTCAGAGAATTCCTTAAGCGATGGAATGCTTATTTTTACGCGTGACTTTGCAGGTGGTGGTGGGGGTTTTTCCAATGTTGAGCCAACTGCAAGAGGTACGGCCTTTTTGTGCAAAAACTCATCATCGGCTTCTTCTATTATTACTTTCTCCACACTTATGTTCCGCGGCGTAGGTAATTTAGCGAAATCGGTTGTTACTTGGAAATCAACAAGACCATTATCTGGCGTTGGTGCGATTCTCGGCTTCGGGAGAGCAAGTGTTGGTCGGCCAGGATTCAGATGATGAAGTGGTACTTCTTGCTGCTCAAAGTCGTCATCGTCGTCGCTTATATGACCATTTGTTGCTAATTGCGAGGGTTTTGTTATGTGGTTACTTGTGCTATTTTTGTTCGTTGTTGAATGATTAATTTGCAGGAGTTGCACTGTTGTGCCGCTATTCTCTTCCTCATTATCCGACTCCTCATCAGTGCTGGCGTCGTAAGCAACAAGTGACATTGTTTTTTAAAAGGAGGACTTCGACGGGTGTTCAAAAAACTTTTATTATTTGGAAGGCAACTCAATATGTTTCGTTCCATCTATTTTACATTGCCACCTTGTAGTTTTAGCTTTGAGGCTTGCCACCTGGCTCAAAACTTGTCAGAATTGTAGGCTCGTAAATTTCCTCACACCTGGCAGTGCTCCTTATGGTTAACGGTTAAGGAAAATTTAAAAAATCCTGCAGCTGTCCCTATCGCTGCAGTAATAAAACAATAAAAAAGGTAACAACTCTTAGGTTAATACAGGTATCTTAATTACCTGGCACCAAAAGGTTGCCTTCTCCTCGCATATAAATATTGCCAAAAAGTTAGCCGACTATCATTTGGTTTATATGTGTTGAAAGGTAAACTACATTTCAAAATGCATCATCACCAGAATCTTGGCGAAGCAAATGCCATGACGGGAATGCTACCACCACACTACGAAACAATGGCTGCTCTATATGAGCCGCCTAAACCAAGGTTTGTCTTTAAGATGCCGCGCGTTGTACCCGACCAGAAGTCCAAATTTGACAGCGATGAGCTGTTCCGTCGACTGGGCCGCGAAAGCGAGATACGCTACACTGGCTACCGAAAGCGTGCAATGGACGAGCGGAAGATACGCTTTGCCAACGATTGCCGCGAAGGCTACACTGAAATCTCATTTGTGGCTACGGGCACAAATATCCAGTTGTACTTCAACTCCAATCATAATCCATATGTGCACGAGGCAGAGTGTAATTTTGAAAAGGAACGTGGCAAGGTGTATCTTCAATCTAATTTTATAATGAATGGCGTTTGTGTGCACTTTCGTGGCTGGCTTGATATGGATCGTTTGGACGGAGTGGGCTGCCTGGAGTACGATGAACAGCGGGCCCTACAAGAGGATGCCCAACTTCGGCAACAGATCGAAAGCTATAATCAACGGATGGTTGAATCGAAACGCATGTACGCACACACTCCCCCCGAAGATATCATTCACCATACTAAGCCTGGTGGTGGTGCGTCGACGATGCGGTGGTAATTTTACACAACTTTTTGTGCTAAATAAAATATTTAAAACGAACCCTCTAATGTGTAGTCCTGTTGCTATTTTAATGAGGGGTTGGGTCTTTGGCCTTAATTAAGACTATTTCGAACAAACAACCACCATTACCCCAATGACCTCAACCCAACCCTCGCTCTCTCGCTCTCTCTCTCCCTCTCTCTCTATATGTGAGTGTTCTCATGTGCCCAACATAACGGCCGGTTGGTCGGCACTATTGATTTTCTTGCCTCTTGCTGAGATGCTGATGCTGAAAAGGCACTTTGCAACTCAGTCTCATTTCGAACGCGTTGGCCGTTAGACGAAATTGAAGGGGCATTGAACACGAAACAATTCATAAATTTATACATACCTACGGCTACAAAAGCTATTTGCCAAACATTCAAAATTTTCTTTAATATTTGTTTTCGTACTTTTCCGTTGAGTAAGAAAAAGCTACGACGAGTGCTAAATTTAGCAGCCGGTATATTGTAGGGTGTGTTGTATGAGTCCCAGCGATATTCCGCCCCCAGTGACGCGCGCGTGGCTCCTCGTATTTGATGCCATTTCTGAAAAATACATATTTTAAAAATAATTGTATAAATTACGTGTGTAGGCGATGTTTAATGGCAAAATATTAATGAAAATTAAAAACCATTATACGTGTATTCTCTAAACAAACACAAGGGAAGCTCAAGCAAAAAAATTCTGTTGAGAAATTTGTGATCCATTCAAACAAAGCCAGTTTCAAGTGGGAAAACATAATACAATGCCCGCATCCAATACGATAGTGCTGAAGAGCCTCTCCATACTATTGGGACTCTTCTTTATATTTGTGGGCACATTAAAACTAACGCCTCACATAAGCAAGGATCTTTATAAGGACCTGGTAAGTGAAAAATCGATAAGCTTGTGGCACCTTGTTTTGTTTACTACGTCGCTCTTCATTAGGTGGATGTTTTGTTTGGATGGGTGGGCCCATCGATTTTTTAAATTCGAGGGAAATGGCGTTCATTTTGTTGTTTGGATTAATGTGAGCTGATTTGAAAAGATCATTTGCAATCGTATTATGTAACTGCCACCACTTTAGTTTGAAGAACTGCTCAAATAACAAATTAGATTTGTTCAACATCGACTTTTCTAACTTATAAGGCTTTTTTTTATAACAATTGTATTGTTTTACCCATGTCGACAGTCTACAAGTATGTTTGTCGAGATACAAAAAAATTTTAAAAATCAACAACAAGTTGGTGCAAATATAAATGCAAAGAACATTTAAATGAAACACACACAAAATTTACTCGATATTGCTTAGCCTGTTTTTTATAATTCTTTGACTTTTCAATTTCAAGCATTGAAGTGGGTCGCATCGATTGATAACTGACATGAAGCATGATAATAAAAGACATCCAATTAAAATGCTGAAAATGATTTGGGGATGTTGATGGGGATTTTCTCAAAACATGTTCCAATATTTATCTTCAAATTCCGTAAATAATTGGTTCATTGAACACAATTCAATAAACATGAATACTATTTTACAATACATACATACATACTTACAAAAAATTCGCACGCACATTGAACTCGACCTCGCTTATGACAGTCATTGACAAATACTATACGTATGTATATACAGATGTACATATCGTACTGATCTTGTCACATCAAATAAAAATGTATATAGGAAAACAAATAAAGATTTTTTTCATATAAAAACAATGTGCCAAGAGTAAACAGAAGAAAATTTGCTCTTCGCCCAAAGTTAAAAAAAAAACTTTTTATTTTCGCTCCAAGATCGCACGCATATTTCCATTTTTTATTTTGTAATTTGTTTATAAATATATGCGTACAAACATTAATATATGCACATATACACATTTATTCTATTTACTTGCCACAAAATCGAGTGTAAATTTTTTGATGTGTAAGCAATCATAATAAAAAAAATAGCTTACTTTCTCGTAAAAAACCCTCTCAATTATTCTTAATTTTCAATTGAGTTGAAATCGCACATCAATATGTTGGCAATTCTTCAACGCTTACCACCATTTAACTTTCAATATTTATATTCCTGTGTTTTATTTTTAAATGGCATCACATTTTTGTGTGCCACTGCAGTTTCGAAACAATTTGCGCAAATTCTTTAACGAATCAAAACGAGACCCAGCGAAGCCAAATGCTTATTTTTAAAAGAAAACAAACATTATGTCGCATAAATTTATACAAACATATGATACATATACATACTTAGGTATGAATGTATGTTTGTGCATATTTGTATAATTTGGTACTTGGGAGTGTTTACGAATTTCGCACACCCATTACATTGCTGAAATTTTGAGCCCTGAGTTCCAATTTCATTGTCGATAGTCTTTATGTGAAGTGTGTAAACAAACATATATGTATCAGCTTTTATTTATTCTTTCATCTACAAAATATTTAAAACGAATCTTCTTTATTTTTCAGCGTACAGAATATGTCAAGTACGCGAAAGTTTTTCCACTAACGGCGCTTTTTGGACTTAAAATTCCTTCAAAATGGTATCGTCGTACCGTGGGTATATTGGAAATTGTGTGCGGGCTTGCCATGGCGTTAATACCATATCGTAAGTATATGAAAAGAATAAAGTTATTTTGTGATTTAGTCCTTCATACATATGTTTGAAGCCAAATCTGGTCAGTTTTAGTTTTTCAAAATAAGCTAATATCACTTAAACTCTTCTTTTAAAGCTAATGCAATAAATTATATACATTCTGCATTTTGATTCGAAATTAAAAAATAAAACAAAATTAAAATATTTTTTTGCCTAATAATTTCAAAAACAAGTTTACATAGAACATAGTTATTCAAAAAAAATTGTTTTCAATATGACATATGCATGGAGATGTTCAGAACCATTTTCTATAAGTAGCAATACAATGCTTCGTCTAAATACACACTTCTACATAAAAATTTTCCTTTTGATTTCCCTTCACAGATAAAGTCAAGAATGCGGCGAATGTGACACTGCTCGTGCTAATGCTATTGGGCATCTACCAACATTGGATGGTCAGCGATCCTTTTGAGCGCTCTGGTCCAGCGTTGGTCTTTACATTTATGTTAGGGGGACGTTTGGTTGTGTGGTATCAGACAAGTCGTAAGGAGGCCGAGCTAGTGGCAACCAGTCCACCGCAAACTAATGGCGTTAAACTGGAGTAAATCCGTTGCACAACAACTACGTGTAGTTCGTACTTTCAATGCAATATATAATTAAAATCATTCAAATAGTCAAATGTGAACTGCCTTCTTAGCACAAAACCCCGAATGCGAGCTCAATTGGCACAAATCTATTATATGAATTATATTTTGTTTTAATTAAACTCGAAAAAACTAAAACTATATGAAAAATCAATATCCACGTTTTCACTTTGTGCCAAATAACGAAATACATACATATATAAATGATATACAAATTTTCAAAGGTGTTCAGGTTATAATTTAAAATAGGGAATAACATAATTAAATAGAAAAAAATACAAGACCAGTGGCACGTATAAGCGATTAATCTATGTATAATGCATTAGTAATTCATAGGCATATAGTCAAACCTAAGTTGCTGCGCCTATGATGCGTATGACTTTTAGTAAAAATTTTAATAAATTTGGACGACTCATCTTTTAAATGAATTATTAAACCGCTTCTTATTTTACATTTGTAATTAGCAACTTCATTTTAATTGGGTAGCATTAGTTGAGATTTAATTTATATTTTAGATTGCAAGCTGACAGCCATCTGTGATTTAATGCGGGTGCTCCACCTTCGTCCATTCTAGTCCTGGCCCGTGGTCAGTAATTTCAATGCCTTTTGCAGATTATCTACAGCAGTTTTCACATCGTCATAGTTAAGCGCGCTGCCTGCGTATTTGCAGTACTTCTGGGCCTTAATCATTTGATCGGCCGTGATTTGTAGACCTGCGACGGGCACTATGGGCTGGTAAACGGTAGTTGCTGCCGGATTGGGTTGACCGGTGGGCACATAAGGCTCAAACCCTCCTGGTTTTTCCTCTTCCACCGGAGGACTGGGTAACTTGCTTGGATTGTTGAGAACTTCTTCGGCCGTGGGTGGTGTGATGTGAGGAGTTGTTACTGGAGGAGATGATGGCGGTTGGTCGTTCTCGAGATTGGCTGGCGGTGTATCAGCTTCATGGCTTGTGTCTCCCTCCTCGTGAGCACCAGTTACTACGGCCTCATCATCATCGTCTGGCAAGGGACCCGGAATAGGCGTTTCGCCGTTTTTTAAGCAATTGTGTATGTATGCGGCCTTCCATTTCGCGTATTTTCGGTTCTGCAAGGCCTCATCGCTCAGCTCACCGAACGTCTGCAACATGTCGTACAAAACACCGCTTGAATAGAAAGCCTTGACAACGTTTCTGTCAATACAAAAGCTCAAATTACATCACCAATTTATCGCGAGAAATAACCACTTTCCCTTACTTTCCAAAGTTTTCCTCGCGGTCCTGTTTATCAGCATATAGAAACAATTTTAGCGCATAGTTTTCAATGTGTGCCTGTGCCGCTATGTCATTAGTAATAGCCTCATTGGCAGAATGCTGCTTTTTCATTAGCTCCAACCAATCCATTAGACCTGCGTTTGTGGGTGGGGGAAAAAAACAAAAACAATCATGCCATGAGTCATGCTTATACTGCGTAGCTGGGGCAGTTACATACTCAGCAAAAGTTTGGTCTCTTCGGCACTTTGCGTAGATGCTTTCAGTCCGATTTGTAATGCGTATAGCCTAGCCCAGTAGGCAATTACAGGATCTCGAGTATCATGCTCCTGAGCAAGTTTAAGAAAGTGCTGTATGCCCTTCAAGGACGGTGGACACTGTGGAAAATCCATTTTGACTAGCCAGGCCCGACCATAAAATAAACACTAATTTGATGAATTTGTGAAGTGCTACCAATAATTTTATATCGAAAAAGTGCTATATGTTATCGATATGAGAATTTCAGTTCACAGTGTGGCCATACTGGTACGTAGAATTAAGTGGGTGATTTGCCGCAAGATATTAACACTTTGCTTCTACAAACCGTTTTCTCGCTATCAGTTTGTCTTTTATCGTTGTTCGGAGTGTACGTTAGAGGTGTAAGCAAGGGTTGGCTGTATTTGGCGTAAATTCGGTAAAAAGACCTCAGCTGTTGTTATCAGCTGTGCACTTTGCACTTTGGCCAGGTTGAACTGCAAGCCAGAAGTGGTAATCTACTACCATGTCTCTATCCAAGCCTCTTTATACTCTGTTCGGCGCTTACTTGGAACAACTCTTTAATCATCCGGTGCGGACGAAATCCATAACGGCGTATGTAAACATACCCCATTCTGAAATTTCTGTTTATTATAGCCGGCTAAAGTTGCGTATCACATAAACATCTCTCAATTTCAGCTGCGTTTTGGCCACCTCGGCGAATGTGACTTCACAGCGAATTGCTGGCGCAAAGCAATTGAATCAGCAGAGTGTTTTCGCATACGCTTTGTTTGGTTTAATTTTTGGTGGGTCTGTTCCCCACTATTTTTACCAGACAGTGGAGCGTTTGTTCGATAATGTGCGTTTTAAGCGATTCCTTTCGTTCTTATCAGAACGTTTGATTTATGCACCTTTCTACCAGGCTTTATCATTATATTTCCTGTCTTTGTTTGAGGTAAGCTTATCCTTTAGTAAATATCTCTTCGCAACTAATGGTGATGTTACTGCAGGGCAACTCCCATACAACTGCAGTTAAGAACATGGAAAAACTTTATTGGCCACTATTAAAGACTAATTGGCGGTACTTATCTTTGTTTGTGTATCTGAACATGGCCTATGTGCCACCCATGGTGGGTATACATTATTCAAATTGCTAAAACTAATGTTAATAAGCTTTTGTGCATATCTCCTTAGCTACGATCCATTACTACCAGTATTATATCGTTCATTTGGGTCGTCTACATGGCGCAAAGACGTCGTCATTTGCAGGAAAAGCAAGCAGCCGAAAAGTCAACATAAACATTCCAATATGGTTTTTTTTTATATTAATGTTGTTAGTGATGTGCTGAAGAATCATGATTATGAATTAGCACGATAAATGTGTAAATGCTTTTATATGTCGTTTTTTACAAACAAAATAAATTGGGATATACTTAAAATAAATAACAAGGCCGACGTAAGCTGTTCCAAAAAAAAATAATACAAATTAAAATAAAAAAGTAAATTAAATACCGTTGTATCATATGCATTATAAAGCAAAGTATACAACTACGTAACTGGGATCATTCTCTGCTCTTCATGAGGATGTAGGACGGACTGATAATTTATATCGATAATTATCGATATTAATATCTGGTACGGTGCAAGGTGACCATACTGATTTGTGTAATCATAATACGAAATATTCAGGGTCCGTTAATGCATAAAGCTGTTCATCGGTATCAGTTCGTTTTTATCGTTACTCGGTACGTGTTGCTTTGCTTTTATGTAGATCTTACCACAGCATAAAAAAGGCCGGTGGTGCTATCACATCCATAATGTTCGTCAATATTATTCAAGTTATTTTCGGTGCCTACCTAGAGCAACTCCTGAAAAATCCACTGCGTACGAAGTGTATAACATCGTAAGAAACCGAAGTTCAATTTCCATTCATTAATATTTTATGCCTTTTAATATAATTTCAGCTGTGTTTTATTCATCTGCGCAAATGTAACTTCCCAGAAAATTTCTGGGGCAAAAAAATTAAACACAAGAAGTGTACTCGCCTTTGCTATCTTTGGACTCATTTTTGGGGGCCCTACCCCTCACTTTTTCTATCAAATAGTGGAATTCCTGTTCCGTGATGCATACTACAAGCGAATCCTTTCGTTTATGGTGGAGCGTTTGGTTTATGCACCCATATTCCAGACATTATCACTGTATTTCTTATCTATTTTTGAGGTACACTTGCCGGTTTCATATTAAAACGTAATTTTAACTGCAAATCTAAATTCTTTCTCAAATTTCAGGGCAACTCACATACATCTACCATTAAAAACATGAAAAAACTTTATTGGACATTATTAAAGACTAATTGGCGCTTCATGTCTTTTTTTACGTTTCTTAATACGGCCTTTGTGCCAATCAAGGTGCGTATGCATTACTAAAAAACGAAACTTAACATTTACCTCCCTATGTAAATCTCCTCAGCTACGGTCCGTTACCACAAGCTTTATAGCATTCTGTTGGATCTTATATATGGCACAAAGGCGTCGTCGTTTGCAGGAAAAGATTTCGGCTGAGAAGTCTAAATAGGCATTCCCAAAAGAAGCTGGACACATGCATTTTCATGGATTTTCCATTACGATTATCTTATCAAAAGCGAACCCTGATTTGTATAAGAAAACATGATAGTGCATACAGGTGCCTGTAGTTCATGTTTTTGAAGAGATTAATAAAAAAAATGTTAGCTTTTGTGTTACCGATAACTTAAAGAAGCTTTCTTGAAAATAGCAAGGGGCAAAGCTAAAGTCGGGCGCCGCGACTATGTATACTATGTACATATCTATACGTATCTGTGTTTGAGAATGGGCACGTATAGATTTGAGCCAAATAACAACAACAGCGGCGGGTAGAGATTACATTTATGGCTAGATGTTTATTCAAGGGCGTACCATCCCAAGGGGGATAAAAAATGCGCGATGCGTTAAAATAATAAATTATACATATGATCTATAGAAAAACTTTAAGAAATCTAACTTAGTTCTATTTTAAGGCGAAATAGTGCGCCATTGCATTTCTTGTATCTACCTCTCATATAGTCTTTGAGATCCAGTTCTTCATACTTACAAACGGACAGACGGCGCTAGATCGACTGGTCTTGTCATGCTCATCAAGAATATATATGGTTTGTGGTATCTGCCTCCTACCTGTTACATTTTTAACTTCCCGAAAACCTAATATATAAAAATAAATTTAACTGGCATTAATTTTATACAGTAACTCAAAATGTAAAAGTACATTCCAATTTGTATATATCTTTATTTCCTTTTGTTGGACCTTCCATACTGTCATACATTTACATCAGAACCAAAGCAAAGTTTGTTTAAAATGGCAACAAATTAAATTTATTAAAAAATTCAGCTTAAAACTAGCAATTAAATATTAGAGCTAAATTACAATTTCGCTAAAAATTGAAACAAACGCCTAGAAACTGAACTTAAAGCTATTGAATGCATAAGAGTGAATTAAATATTGAATAAATATCATCGCATTACAAATAACAACTACCTAGCCGTACAAGTATGGTGAATAAATACATATATGTATGTATATATATAAATATCGACTATTAGTCCGTTTGACTAGAATGGATTACAATCGGCATTTTCATTTACCACCCGCCACACTTTGCGCAGCGAATCGGTTAACACTCAAAAAGCAGCCATCGAGGGACTGCGACTTTGACGCAGTGGAGTGCAGGAGGGCGTGCAGGGAGTGCTTGCGCGACTAAAGCAGCTGGAACAGCAACTTGAAGCGTCCGAGGGCGTCTTGTGGTGATATGGTATGGGACGTTTGCGCGCACTGTAAAATAAAAGCCATTTTTCTCTCAGTTTAAATCCACAAATGCATAAAGAACTTGAAAAAAAAAATAATAATATTCATTCAAAACTTACCAAATGATATTTTAAATTAAATCATTAAATAAAATCTCTTGAAACCGAACAAATCATGAGTGTAAAAAAGCAATATTTAATAATTTACAATTGGGCAGCGACATAATTTATTTCTTACTAAATACAAAATTATGAATATACAATACGTGATACAAACAGAAGTATGAAATTTTATAATATTTCCATAAATGGAAAAATTGCATAGAGTTGAGTCAAAATAATTCCTGAGTTAGCTGTAAAAAAGAAATATGTGTAAAAATAAAATCAGGAGCTGTGGATAAATTAAATTTGAAATAAATTTGAACTGAAGTGGGTAACAGTCTAACGTCTGGCGGAGCGAGGTGAGCGACGGCTACAAAAGCAAACAGATTAAAAAAAATTAATTAAATTATCAAAGAAAAAATAAAAGTAATAGACAAATGGATGTCGGCGACTTTGGTCCCAATAAAGCTGCTGCTCCTACCTTGTGATACGACGCCGATCAAGAAAACTGGGGGAGCCTCGGCGTCGCGGTATGGAGGGCGAACGTGAACCAGATTGTGATGAGCCCGAGGCACTGCTGTGAAATGAAAATTATTTGTTTAGCATTGCAGCACTAGACATGGTTAGCTTCTTATTCAGCCCTTATTTAATTATAATGAATATTAATATTTGTGAATTTGTTACCTTGGGGAGCTTCCGGAACTACTATGCGATGTGCAGCTGGAGCGCGATGAATGCGAACCGGAACGTGATTCAGAACTGCGCGAGCCGCTCCGACTGCTGGAAGAACTGTAGCGTCTGCAAATAGAGAAACAGTCTGATGATCTGATCCTTAGCCCCTCAATAATCTGCACACTTACGATCTTGAGCGGCTGTTAGAGCGATGATGATGCCTACTACGACGTGAGCGACTTCGGCTCCGACGTGCTGCTTCCGCCGCCGCCACAGTTGCTGTGGAGACTTTCGACACAATGGCATCGACGAGGGTGCTGTCGGCTAGAGCAGCAACTAAAGGCTGTGGATCGTGAATTTTAAACGGTTTTATAACTATCTTTGGTTTCTGTTGCTGATGATGATAGCTTAAACTATTCGCGGCAGCGGCCGCAGCAGCCGCGGCTGCATTAAAACTAATGCTACTGCGTGTATGAAGCGGCTGCTGGACATGCGACGGATGATTGAGAAGGGCCAGACCACTAGCAGCGCTACCGCCACCTCCAGCCACACCACCCAGCCCCAAAATGCCAGAGTGACGACCGTGATGGCCATGATGATTGTTGGCGGCTAGCAGCGCTTGCTGTGGACCTGGGGCATATAGACTAGGATTATACACAAGACTACGCGTTAGATGATGTGCCTGCACCTGCGCCTGCTGCTGTTGATCGCGACGACTGATCAGTGGCACATTGTTGTGATGATGATTCTTGCAGATATTATAATGCGTAGCTGTCAGCAGAGGTCCATGATTCAGGCGATTAGTCGTGCGGTTGTAGGTGCCAGCAACACCGCTCGTAAAGAGCGGCATGTTGGAGTTGTTAGCGTGATTAGTAGAATGAGGAACAATACTAGAGAGACCGCTACCACCACCACCACATGCATGAATATTGTTAGTGTTATGTCTACAATTGGGATTGTTATTTAGTGTGCGGTTATAAAAGACGCGTTTTGATTGTTGCTGTTGGTGTTGTTGCGGTTGATTGGTCGTTCGCTTAGGAGCTGATGTTGCTGCTGTTGGCGCGGACGCAGTTGTTGGACTTTTGGCGTCGCCATTTGCCGCCACATGCTGAATAGGCGCTTGACAAATGGGCGGCGTATTAGTGTCCCTTTTACTATGTTTGGGCTCGCTCTTAATAGCGGGCTGACCGGTTTCCAATGGCTGAGGGTGTATCACAGCCGTTGGTGTGGTTGCTTTGTTTATTGACGTCACCGGCGTCGCCGTTACAGTCGTGGTTACCGCCACAGTTGGCAATGGGTTAATTAAAGCATTTACATTGTTAGCAACAAGAAATTCACTTAGCGAATTACGTTTAGTCGTCGGGCACAGGTCCCCACTTACTTCACATCTTTCTGTTGCGCCCGGTTCTCCATTTTTCTCCATTGTTTTGATTTTCTGTTTTGCCTTGGCTGCAATTCCCGACTTCAGTTGCTCAAGCATACGCAGTTCCTGTAACTCCCGATCTCGTTTAGATTGTTGATACTCATCAAGCGCTGCGCCATCGCCGGTGACCATTTCGCTTTCGCTCCCATCGTCACTTTGGGCACGCAGGCGCACTACGGGTGGCGGCTTACTCGTTGTGTCGCGTTCGCTTATACGCCGAGGACGCGAACTGGCTCTGGATTTGTCGCGCGTCTTTGAGCGTTTCTTCTTGTCGGGGACTATGTCTCTGTATCGTTCCGGATTACGTTCAGCTGGAGAATATCGCAACTCTGTGGAACTATAGCTATGCGAGCGACGCTTTTCTGATTTTGGACTTTGGCTGGACTTAATTTTGTTGGTAATAGCAGCACGTTTCTGTAGAGATTCTGAGTTTTCGCGTTGTGGACTGCTTTTCTTCGCAGTTCTTTTCTCACGCGACTTACTATGACGATCTCTAATTGAGCTGCGTTCGCGTTTTACACTCTTGTGTACCTCCTGTTTCGGGGTTTTGCTGCGAACCCGCAGCTTCTTTGTGGGTTCGGGCGAAGGTGTACGCGATGCGGCTTCGCTTTCTGAAGAACTTCCGCTGGAACTGCCTGACGCTGAGCTGGAACTGGATGCCGACCGGTCTCTCTTTCTATGCTCGAGCGCCACTTTAACAGACTTTGTTCCCAATATGTCGTTGACAGTGTCTTCGGCTGCTTTGAAAGGATTAAAGGCAGGTACGGCAGTTGTCTTCTTGTTTGTAGCAACATCGCTAGAACGACTACGCCGTTTGCTGGCATCTGGTGAAACAGTTCTTTGTTTTTGTGTGTGTTTCGTTTTCAGACTGCGAGAATACGAGCGGCGATCAGGTTTACGATTTTCTCCAGTTTTTGCAGAGTATTCCGATCGAGAACGGGAGCGTGAATGTCGACGTTTTTTGACACCATCAAAACGACTGGAACGTTGTTCGTTTTTGTTTTCGGTTGATTTGCCACGCTTACGGTAGGAGCGTTCTTCAGATCGTTGCTTTGGACGGCGTCGTTCGCCAGACGTCGATCTATCTCGTCGTTTGCCTCTGGATGCGGAATGATCACGCTGCCTCGGTGATATCGAACGTTGGCGCTGCATGTCGGGAGAATTTGATCGTTTCCGTTGGCGATCCTTGTTGCGATCGCTTTTGCTAGCCCGCTCTTTAGAGCGCTCATTCTCTTTTGAATGCGCTCTCTCCTTTGAGAGATCTGTTTCGTTTGAACGTTTACTCTCTTTTGAGCGTTGTCTCTCCTTAGTACGTTCTCTTGGTTTTGAACGTTGTCTGTCCTTGGAGCGATCTTGCTCTTTTGAACGTTGCTTCTCCTTTGAAAGTTGTCTCGGTTTTGAATGTTCCCTCTCTGTCGAAAGTTGTCTCTCTTTGGAGTATTTAATATCCTTGGAGCGTCTCCTTTCTTTCGAACGTTGCCGCTCTTTTGAACGTTGTCTGTCTTTCGAACGTTGTCTGTCTTTCGAACGTTGTCTGTCTTTCGAACGTTGTCTGTCTTTCGAACGTTGCCTCTCTTTCGAACGTTGCCTGTCCTTAGAAAGCTGGCGCTGTCTCGAACGTTGCTTCTCTTTGGAACGTTGTCGTTCCTGCCTATCTTTTGAACAGTGTCTATCTCTTGAGCGTTTTCGCTCCCTTGATCGATCCTGTTGTTTTTCTGTCTCCCTTCGAGGTGGTGTTCGTGTGGGTCTTGAACGTTCATGCGATTCTTCTCTCCGAGTACGGCTGTTACTAGGCTCACGTTTGTTACTTTTGTCTCGTCGACGCTCAATGGATCGACTACGGAAAGGATTCTCACAAGAAGTTTCAACATCATTGATTTTGTTTGTTGCTTTTAATTCATGGATCTTTCCCCGGTTCTTTTCTTTACGTTCATGTGGAGCCGACAAGCTGTTGAGTATACAAAAAATTAAGTTTAAAAAGTTGCACTAGATTACAATGTTAAAAGTTATTACTTTGAATGAGCCGAGTCCGTTGAGCTAGCACGCGCATGGCTCTTCTTCTTCTGTTTCTTTTCACGTTTTTTCTGCATAATAGAAAATTATAAATTATTACCATTATTGAACTATGCATTGAAAGTGTTTTTGCCAAGAGTCTATCCTCTAGCAATAAAGATATGTATTTCATTATTTATGGCATGATATCATGTGAAGTTTTGTGCTAGGCATTTGGCAGCGTTAATCTTTCGCACTAGAGAGCATAAGCAGTTTGTTTTTCGTTTTCAATGCTATAGCTGAAAACAATTCATACTTTTTACATGTTGTTGCTTTGCAACAATAATCAGTTGTCACACATAAATTTTGGATTATTTTTTTTTATATCTTTAAGAAAAACAGTCAAATGAAAGTACTTACAAAACTACAAGAGAGCCTTTGAAAGCTATCCTATATCAATGAAGCGCCAAGGGTTTTCATAAACAAAATATAAATTTTCTTTTTTGTTTCTTGAAAATACTTAAATTGATTTTTGGTTTGGAAACAAGCTACGTATAACTCAAAAATAGTATCAAAAATATTTGATCAAATAACAAGAGGCTATGCACATCGTTTAATTTTCATTTATATTTCAATTTTTTATGTGTGTATTTTAAATTCAGATTGGCAGATTTTATACGGCGTGTATAGCCACTGTTGAAAATTTTACTAGGCGACTAGAAACAAAAAAATATACAATCAGACAAAAATATAAAAGGTAAATCAAAATGTTATACTAGGTTGTGAATGCGTTTGAAGCCTTTTTACCTTTTAAAATATTTGTGGGTGATTTTGTTTACTTATCATTATTAGTTTTTTTTCGATTATATTTGTTTTGTTCTGCAAATTTTAAGGTTCAGAACTTGTTTGTTGATTATTAAATATTTGTTATTTTTTATTATTATTATTATTTTTTTGGTGGAAAAAGAAGTAAATAAGCAAGAGAAGAAATGGCGTATGTTTAATATTTGGTGAACAATTGAAAACCACAACGTAAAAGTCAAACAAGTTATCATCATATATAGTAGTACTTCCATTTTGGTTTTCGACACGTAATGTTGGTAATTAGTACAAAGTCATTAGATGAGTTACATAATGTGTGTAAGTATGTGTATGTGTGTTATTATATTATTAAGAATAAGTAATTACATCATTAGGTATATAAATGCATTTATGTATGGAGAAATAGTTAAAGAAACAGCGTTAGGTTAGAGTTCATTAGAGAAGTTATTGTAGGCATATATGGATGTATATATATATCATTGGGTTTTGTGTAACAGCAGCACATGCAGACTTGTTTTTTTTTTTTGTTTTACTTCATTTTTTGTATTTTGATTCCGAGGATTTGGTTTTTACGGGAATTTACGCTTTTTACGTGTTTTTGGCACTCTAAATGCATTTTGGTAAATGAAGTAATGACATCCTATTGGCATACCTTTTCCTTTTTGGCTTTTTTGCGCGCTTTTCTCACGTCTTGCTCCGAGTCGCTGCTAGCGCCTTCGTCCTCGCTCTCCTTGTCGCTGTCTCCGCTATCGCTGACACTGTGCTTACGTTTGCGGGATTTCTTCTTTTTGGATTTACTGCAAGTAGAATTTGGCAGTGAAATCTTTAGTGGTTATGAGGACTACGGGTGCAGGAAAAATATTTACATTTGTTTAAACATTTTTTTTACTGTAAATTGTGTAGAGTTGTGTGCTATCACACACTCGAGTTTGATAATATCTTTGAAAGCTGCAGGCTAGACGAAGAGTTCCGTAATGTGTATGTTTCTATGATGTGAATCACATTATACCATATTGATTGAAAAGAAACATTAAAAACTTGACATTGTCTTAAGTATAGATATAGGTATTGGTTCTTGTGGTTAAAAGCTTTACCTTCATTGAAAACTGCTCAAATTGCATTGTTTTTAGTTAAAATAGTAATAGTAATAATAATAATAGAAAGAAATATGAGAAATTAATTTGCTTTTAATGGTGACGAACATCATAGTTTTATTCTTGGCTAATCATTGAACACTGTTGCGACAAAACACTACATGTATTAAAATATTCGTTAATCAAATTTTGGAACTTAAAATATCAGTGTTGTTCATTATAAACTGTATAATCGAAATTATTACTTACCGCATACATTTATGAGAGTGTGTGAAAAATAGCGACCAAATTGACAAAATGATTAACATATATATGTGTGTGTGTGTATGTGTGTAAGCGTTATTTAAACAAAAAACTTTTTTAGTTCAGTAAATCTACGGCAATGTAGTAACACGCCCTGAGGTATGCAACATTTTTCATAGCCAACATAGCCAACATTTTTCATAGCGAACAATTTGAAATAAAACATTTTTGCAATTATTTCTTAACAAATTTGTGGAAGTATATTTAAAATTAACACTTGATTGCTGCTTCACTATGGGAAAACGCATTTCAAACATTTCATTTCATTTTTTGTATTGTGTTTTTTTTTATATGTAGTTATTTAAGCTCATTTATAACTAAGAGTAATACGTGTAGACAAATTTATTTGTACATAACTTTTCGCTTCTTTTTACTTTCTTTCTCATATGAATCCCTTTTGTGGTTTAAAATGCAATGTAAAAAAGGAGTAGAGACGAAAAACACAAAATATATTAAGCAATTGGTTGGTAGTAACAAGTAGCAATTGTTTTCATTTCATTCATTCATTCTTTTGTTTAATGTTTCACGTTATCAGTTATTAAAGATAATAAATTACGATTATCTATACACATACAAAGAAACAAAAAGGAAATTTTATGTTCAAACATAGGGCGCCTACAGAATATAAACAAAAGAGAGAAACTAAAAGATAAATCTCTACTGCAGAGCAATACGTTTTGCGGTTAGACATACATTGATTTTAATTTTTTTTGCTTACCTTTCTTTCTTATGTTTCTTTGACTTCTTTTTCTTGTCCCTTTTGCGCTCAGGGCTGGCGGAACTGCGTAACAAAAGTCAAGCGTTAATAGACAAATTTCCGATCCACATTAAAATGTTTTGCTTACCTATCCCTGGTGCGCTTCTTTTTCTTTTTTTTGTCCGATTTTGATACATGCTCGCGCTCATCGCCACTGGTTGCTGGCTCTTTGTCCTCAGCGCCACCGGCTCCATCACGCTCCCTAGATGGTGTGCGTATAAGAGCATAGCGTTTGCCCGTCTCCTTGTCTTTGCCTGAAGCTGCTGCGGCCGCCGCCGCTGCCAGGCTTTCGCGTTGAGCGTCCAGTTCCTTCTGCAGAGCCACACTTTTAGCTAAGTCCTCCTTCGCCTTGCGATCGTTGTCAAAGCTGCTGCCCTCTACGAAATATTCGGAGATGTTGAAGGCCTCACGTAATTTGGCGTTTTTTTGCTGTTGTGCCTCGGCTATCTGATGAGTATCGCGCACGCTGCGAATAAGAAACATAAGCTTAGGTTAATAATAATACCACTTTTATGCTTTTTACAAATTATATGTTTCGTTCCAAATGCCGGGAATAAATATTTAAACACGTTAAAGACTTTTGTGGGAATGGCCCTATCATAAAGATAGATTTGATATTTTTCATTGAGCTCTGGCTCTATCATTCATTTGTTCTTTTTGTTCGCTTTTTCTCCATATTATTTTAGGATTAAAACAAATAATTATACCCATAAATGAGTCCAATTGATGAGTGTTTCCGAATCTTATTGAACTATATTGAACAAAAATCATTAACTTTATCTTTTCAAGCTTTGGTAAAACCTGCAAGCCACAGATTTGCCGTGGTGAGTAAAATATCTTTCGACTCAAAACTATTTTTTTTGAACTCATGCTTCTTAAAGTTTAATGCAGTTTCAAATCTGTTAGTGGTTGAAATTGACGAAAACAATCAATGTATGTACCTCTCCCCATCGCCACAACCGCCGAGCAACGTTTTTAGTAACGTGCTCGACGAATGCTTGAGTAGCTGAAGCAAAACCGGCAAAGCTTTCACATCGAGACCACGGTGTGACGTGTTCGGGCACAGTTTGTTCGGAAGTCTTTGATGGCTGCCAGCATCAGCTGTTGTCTTGCTGTGGTCCGCCTGTGGGTATTGCGTGGTGGCCTGACAGGCGCATGCGCATTCCCGAGGCAGCTTCTTGGCCAATGCTGCTCTCCTGGTCCTGTTGGCGCCGGTTGCCAACGCAGGCCGCAGCGGCTTGAATTTCTTAGCCACAGCCGCATAGTTAAGCGCTGCAGCCGTGGTTTGGGCTGTGAAGTGGATGCTCTCGTATTTGGTGATGTATTCGCGATTGTCATGTTGAAAATACTGTGCCTTGCACTTCCTAGTTGCTCCGTTTGATGAGGTAACTGTGACCGTGCTGACTCCTCCTTCTCCCCCACTGATATGGGCACGGGGGCAGACCGCGTTGTTGATGTTTGTGGCCGTGGGTATATTGGTAACACCTACATTTATACAGCCGGCTGCATGACCCGAGCGTTTGCGACGCTTCCGACGTTTCTTCGTTTTTACAATTTGCAGTGTTGTTGCTGCTGTCGTTGTGGCTGTGGTTGTGTTTGTATAGATTTCCGATGAGAGCATGATGATTCGATGTACGCATATAGAGCAGTTAGATTTTTAAAGTTATTAAATTATTTATTTTTAGATGTTGTTGTTGAAGCCGTTTTTTAGATACATTGCAGTTGCACTTCTTTTGCTCAATATGTTGTTAACCAAACAATTAATAATATAATCAATATTATATTAAATTTAGTAAGTAGTAGTTTTGACTCAATGGTGCAACATTTGTTAAGAAAGTCCGTAAATTTGATTATTTTTATGGATGTATTTATAAAGATTTTAGTGTATTTCGTATGTATATTTTTTATATATAAAAATATGTTAATATTTTTTCTTTATATTTTCAAAAATGTGTACACATTTTTATAGGGAAGACCGGCGTTTATATAAAAATAATTGTATATATTTATTAATAATATGTTATTTGGTCATTATTTGGTTTTGCCTTGTATATGTGTATATTATTAATACTCTCTTTTCATTCAATGCAACTTCCAAGCATTTTATTAATATGATGCTTTATATTTTGTGAAGTTATAAATATGAAACTATTCAAATCCTATTTCCTCATATTAATATAAATATATATATTTAATTTATAACTTTAATCGATTTTTGGAAGACGATGGATTATTTTTTATATGATAGACACTCTTACATTATTTACGTTGTTTTAATTGTTTTTGAGTATATTAATGTATTTTTGGAAGACTTTGGATTTTAGAAGACATTAGATTAATACATAAATAATATATATTTATATATGCATTTATATAACTTTAATTCGTTGCAGTTGAATATTAAGATGTTCATCCGTTTAATTACGCGAACGGCAGACATGAATATAACTTGCCCGCGTTAATACACAATTAATACTAAATTCATTACGAGCTAGGTTTGGAAGACTTATTAAGTGATTTGTTGCTTTTAGTTCAAGTGTTGTAGCGCTCACATTACTATGTCTTTTGGCCCGTCTCTCCGTCGCCTTAATTCCATTTTAATTTCGCTCCATTTTACACTTGCATATCAGCCAACAAACAACAACCACTCAAATAACAGACACAACGACGACGACATAAGCTCGTAATCCATGCCGCTCCATAGAAGGGGTTTTTAAATGCTTTTCTAGGGGTGGTTGGGGTGAAAGCAACCACCAACGCATTGCCTACAACTTGCTGCTTTTCGTTTTGTTTCATTTTTGTTAGTTCTTGGGAGCTCCGCACTTGAAAGGCTGCTTGACCAGTAGCTTGATTACATTTTCACCTTCTGCTGTCTGATTGACGACTCTTTTTATTAGTATTTGCCTTCTTGCATATTTGCAGTTAATGCATTTATTGTTTCCTTTATCAGACGCAATTTCGTTTTTGTGCCATCTATTGATTTTTCCAGTGCCACAAATAAAAACCAGCCCAGAAATTTTTCCCATGATTTTGCGTATAAATTACAGCCATGACGTTGTTGTTGCCATTGTCGTTTTCATTAACATCGTTGCCAAGGACACTTTGTTCGTTAATATTTTTAGTAACTATATATATAGTTTCTTCTTGAATTTATATTAAACTTTCCGATTCCTGAGCGCGTGTGCAAAGCATCGGACTATGCTTTGACTTTGGAAGACTTGATGTGACTGAAACTGAATGCATAGAAAATCTTTGCAGCAGCTTTTTCTGTACCTCTCGACTGTTTTGATTGGCGGCTTCTGCCTACTCGAAGGTGCAGCTCAGGGGGAAGTTGCAGATTTTGTTAGCCTTTCTGTGCGCAGGCGGCCGCGCATAATGATTGACTACTGTGGGGTTGGTGGGTTGTGGGACAGCTGTGCACATACTGTTTAAGATTTGGGTTGGTTGCGAAACACGCAATTTAGTTAAACACTTTATTGATTTGTCAAGTGGGCCTAGTTTTGTTTAAATTGCATAATTCTAACTGAGTATTTACCCACATGGATGAAAACACTTGGTTATTATGTTTATAATACTTACGCTACGCGACCAAATTCATCCTTTGCTAAATCAGTTTTGCCTTGACCCATTAATTTTTGACGGTAAGAGTCCACGTGTGCTTTGATCTCCTCAGGTGTTCGCCTGTAAAAAAAATACAAAATCGGTATATTAATAAAATTAAAATATATGTATACACATATGCATGTTGGGTATAAAAGACGAAATACCTTTTATTATAATAAGCTCAAGGCTTGTGGGAAAGATCAATAAATACTCGATACCACAGCCACTTGATAAATTACATTTAAGGCCGCGAATTTTCAACAATTTCGTTGTGTGTTTTCTCTTATTGACTTATTAACAATATTCCAAACACATTTAATATTATTTTAACAAGTTGGACTTGTCTGTAGCATCAAAAAATGCCCGCTTTGGCATTATATACGGACGTCTTCTACCAAAATAATCTCTACAACTGAAATGCAGTTTTTCACCACCAGACTCTGGCTTGCCTACTAAACAGACACTGGACACCGGAAGAGAAAATGAGCGCACATATGTATTTATAAATGTAATGCATTGGAAGGGGGTGGTGTCAGAATAGGTGTTGACACTCTCGTGCGCGTGGTGGTTGCTGAGCGTGTGTACACTCTTTGGATTTGGATTTCCATCAGGCGTCAAATGTAAACAGAGAAACAAACATAAACAGAAGCAAGTTGGCGTGCCAGAGCCTAGAGCTGGCAATTTTCAACAAACCCCGTACTTAACAGAGATTTGGTTACCGGTGTTATATAACGACCGAATTGCATTACAATACATCACTAAGGATACAAAATAAAAGCACTTATGACCAACTTACCCCTGCTTTTCCAGTATTTCCTCAAACTCAATGCATTTCACCTCAATTTTGCGCTTTCGATCGTGATCTAGTATTTCCTTGTTGGGTGGACGGTTCAATTGTGCATCCAATTTTTTGCTATCATCTTCGGGGCGATAGTCTTTATCCTTTTTTCCAGGACGCACAAATGCCCAGTTCCGCTGCACATGTCCATTGGTACCAGAGCCACGCGGTGTTGTCAATCCAATGCCGTTATACATAATGCTTTGATTGCCTGTCGTTCGGGTAAACGTTTACATATATTTGTACGTTTAGCAATGCATCAACATCAATGTGGGGTGCTCTGCTGACTGCAATTTGCAATCAATTTTTAGTCGCGAGTTTAAGAAATTGCACAACTTGCGAGGTTGTGAATCAGAATTTACCTTTCAACAGCTGTTTGATTCGCACCAAGCCAACAAAACACGCCTACCAATTATTTATGTATCAATTTAGACAACTTGGAACTGAGAGAACATAATAAATTGTGAAAATTACACACACGCGAATGCCGCTGATTGCCGGTGATGAGCAAGATACAGCTGCATATGTACTATCGATATCGTTGCAAATCGATATTTATATTGGCATAGTATATCTGGCATCCCCGATAAACTTGTAAACAAAACACACGCTTTGTGAAATTCTCTTTCCATAATAATAAACGATAAATAATTAATCAACTATAAGCGCATACTATGAGCGATGCAGGGGAAAGCACAACAAAAGTATTATTTAAGAAGTCGTCACGTAAAAATCTGCGCCAACGCAAGAACTCCGAAGATGGAGAACAGGAGGAGCAGTATGTGATCCACAATACAACTGTAGCTGAAGACTAATCCATTGCTCTTTTACCACAATAGATTGACACTGGAGGAAATAAAGGAGCGGCAACGATTACGACAGCGTCCCAATGGTGTTAGTCTAGTGGGTTTGGCGCTAGGAAAAAAAATAGGAATGGAGGAAGAGCTGGCTATTAAAGATCCGTTTAATGTGAAGACTGGTGGTCTGGTCAATATGCAAACGCTCAAATCAGGGAAAATGAAAGAGCCCGAAGATGCATATGATGTTGGTATAGGCACCCAGTTTTCAGCAGAGACTAACAAACGCGACGAAGATGAGGAAATGATGAAGTACATTGAACAAGAGTTGCAAAAGCGCAAGGGCGGGGCGACGGACTCTTCTAAGGGGACAGATAATGATGATGGCAGCGATTTAAACAAGTATTTGACGCCAGAAGATGCCGCTCTGTATGCACTCCCTGATCATTTGCGGCAGTCTTCCTCCCATCGATCAGAGGAAATGTTGTCCAATCAAATGTTGAATGGTATACCTGAAGTGGATTTAGGCATCCACGCCAAAATTCGCAACATAGAGGCGACAGAGGATGCTAAACAAAAACTTTTGCAAGATGCTAAAAACAAAAAAGATGGACCCTCGCAGTTCGTTCCCACCAACATGGCGGTGAACTTCATGCAACATAATCGATGTGAGTACAGTTTCTGTAGACTTTCTGCACAATGTTCTATAAAAAGAATTTGTAATTTTCAGTTAATATCGAAGATAACAGTGAGCCACGCAGGCGAAAACGTGATGATGAGGGCAACAAATCCGGTCAGCACCAAACAAATCCAAATGGCGTGAAACGAGCGACAGATGATTATTATTATGACAAATTCCGGAAGCAATTCCGTAGATATTAATAAAGTACAAACTAGATCTAACGAAGATCATCTACATTTATTATACCCTCTTATGCGAATGTAAGTAACTTACAGAAGGAGGTAGGGTAGGTAATGTATTCGTTTTTAGATTTACGCATATAAATACATATGTGATGTATAAAGTCCATTATAGACTTCCCGCATAGATTTTTGCTAGGGGCCTGGGGGGCGTTATGAGAAGTGAGATACACGTACCTAGGTGTATGCATATATGCCTGGGCGTTTCAATGCATATATCATAAATATATATAATCATATAACATCTTGAATGGGTATAACAAATAATGAACACTAACATATCATTTCAATTGGGAATGCTTGGGCGCAAATCAAATTCGCTGTCCCTACAAAGTAGATATATTCTTGATCAGGATATGGCGATGTCCGCCTGTCTGTGTGAACTCAAGGATTTCAGAATGCATAAAAGCTAGAGAAACAAAACTTGGTACCCAGATTCTCCAAGACCGAGGTACGAGTTTGTGTTTCAACTCCACTCCTTCACTATTAATGATTTTCCATACCTCCCATACTTCTTAAAATGTTTATTTAGATTTGGAAACTACATCCAAATAAATGCCCTCATGGTAGGTCAATTGTTAAGGAAGTTATAGCCATTAATGTAATATCTGCCCGCAGCTATTGCTGCCTCTGCCACATATGTAAATAACCATGTCTCGTGTGTTGATAAATGTTTATTTTATTTATATTAATTTTAATAAAAGATGTTAGGTCTTTTTTAAAGGAGGTTTGGGACTACTCAACTTTAACTTTCCATTACTGTTTGTTATTGTTATTGTATTTCATTCGTGCAGCCACTGATTTCATCTTACCTAAAAGAAAACATGTGCACATTAAATATTTAACTTTTTTTTTTAAATAACAGCTTACCTGATAAAAATATGAATATGAAATATATCTATATCCGTACCATCTATCCAACATTTTAAAAACATAACCTGTTTAGGGAGAGCGCCTCTCTAATTTGTATTTAGGCTGAAATAAAGAAACATTAAATTTTTTAGATGGAATGGATTGATAAAATCTTCGGCTTAAAAAAAAAGAATTTTGTATCAGTTAGAGATTTGCTTTCATAGCAACGAATGACTGAAGCTCATTGAGATTCCTACTCTAAATAATCATCACGAATATTTTAAAGTATTGAGACCATTATATTACTTACATTTCAAAGTTAGTAGAAGTCCGTACCATCTATCCAACATTTTAAAAACATAACTTGTTTAGGGAGGGCGCCTCTCTAATTTTTATTTAGGCTGAAATAAAGAAACATTAAATTTGTTAGATGGAATAGATTGACAAAATCTTCGGCTTAAAAAAAATAATTTTGTATCAGTTAGAGATTTGCTTTCATAGCAACGAATGACTGAAGCTCATTGAGATTCCTACTCTAAATAATCATCACGAATATTTTTAAAGTATTGAGACCGTTTATTACTTACATTTCAAAGTTAGTAGAAGTCCGTACCATCTATCCAACATTTTCAAAAAATAACTTGTTTAGGGAGGCGCCTCTCTAATTTTTATTTAGGCTGAAATAAAGGAACATTAAATTTGTTAGATGGAATGGATTGATAAAACCTTCGGCTTAAAAAAAAACGACTTTTATCAGTTAGAGATTTGCTTTCATAGCAACGAATGACTGAAGCTCATTGAGATTCCTACTCTAAATATTCATCACAAATACAAATTAAAATATTTAGATAGATGTTCACTCACGTTTTAAAAGTTAGGTACAAGTCTGATTCAAAAGTCTTGAAAACATAACTTTTCATAGAAAAGGCCATTCATTTTTTTAGGCTGAAATTAAATAAAAAGTATAATTTTATTACCTTTTTGCCGTAGTCGAGTATTGTTTCTGCAACAATCTTATAACATAAAATTTGCGTTAGTATTAAATAATTCTAAGATCAAGTTTTACTCACTTTCAAAAATGATCCTGATCTGAAAATAAAATTAACCAAATGTTTACGCCCTATATCCCAAATAATATAATAGATAATAGTTTTTATTTTTCATGTTTTTATTAAACTCAGACAACATGGAAACGATAATCCCAGCACTATCTGTCATCTTAGATATTATCATTAGAAAAATTCTATGTAGAAAATCCACGTTTCCACCTTGGTTGTTTATATGATGCCGATTTTGTTAGCAATGTCTAGAGCATCGTAGTCACGCGCCAGGCGCACATAAGCCTTCTTTTGACCATCGGGTCTGATCAGGATGTTGACCTTGGCAACCTTGATGTCATAAAGCTTGCGTACTGCAGCGCGCACGTGATTCTTGTTCGCACGCAGATGTGTTAGGAAGACCAAAGTGTTGTTGTCTTCGATCTTCTTCATGGCTGCTTCCGTAGTCAACGGGTATTTAATGATATTGTAAGCATCCATGCGGTTCCTGGTTGGCACCGACTTCCTTGGGTATTTGGGGTTGCGTGGAAGCTTCAAGGTGTTGGGACGACGGAAGTGCACGTTGGTGCGGACCTTGCGTGTGCGTGTACCAAAAGCGCCCTTGACAATCTGTTTATATCAAAAGCAAAATATAAGTGATGAAAGTTTCAACGTTCTAACATTTCACTCACCTTCTTCTGCACCTTTTTAGCGTTCAGCAGAGCAACAGCTTTAGCCTTTGCAGTACCCTTTTGCGGTTTGGCACCAGCCTTGCCAGCGGGCTTCTTTGCCTTGGCAGCGGCGCGCGCCTTGGCAGAGAGCTTGGCCAACACAGACTGGGGTTTCTTACCAGCTGCAACCTTTTTCTTGGCATCCTTAGTCTTGGGCTTGGCCTTGGTTGCTGGCTTCTTCACTGCTGTGGGTTTTTTAACACCAGCTGCTGCTGGTTTCTTGGCAGGAGCAGCGGTAGCTGGCTTCTTAGCGGGTGCAGCGGCCTTCTTGGGTGCAGCAGCTGCAGCAGGTGCCTCCTTTTTTCCGGAAGCGGGGGCCGCGGCAGCAGGCTTCTTTTGCTCTGGCTTTTTGTCGCCGGGCTTGGCTAAAATACAAACCAATTATGTTAAAATCGCTGCCCATAAAAGTGAGGTTAGGCACGTCCACGAAACAATTGACTATTGAAACATGCCCAATAGCAGTTCTTTTTTGTAAATCTAATACAACAACCAATAAAACACGAGCGGCACTTGCAACTAGAGGGTTTAACGAGACAATGGCAATGGCTTTGTTTTTAAGGCTTAGACGAGGCTGATACCGCACGTGGCGAAAACATGCTTGCACACCGTACGTTTTTAAGTATAAAAATCCATTTTTGAGCTTTGATATTTATATCATAAGGTGCCGCTTTCATTAAGGTTTCGTTTGGTGCCAATACCACATTTCTTGGTCCACTTTTACACGAAAATCCTTACCGGATTTCTCCGTTGGCTTTTTGGCTGGCATTTTCACGAGAACACGAGGTTGGAAAGAGTCAGTAATTGTCGACGTATCGAAGTCGTCGATTTCTAATCGATTAACCACGAGCTTATCGATTTATCAAACCAATTAAGTCTGCCTGCAAATTTCTATATGATAAAAGATTACTTGGTAAACAGTGCTTACAAAGTAAAATGATTAAATACAAATAATTGTATGAATTTATATGTGTCATTTATACTCATTAATGCAATTATACTCATCAATGTTTCTATTCGATTAGAGATTTCGCAAGTCGAATGAACCAATATCCACATCGAATAAAACAAAATTTCTAATCGCAGCCAACTTTGTTTAGCCAAGTTGTAATTACAGATATCGTTTTTGCAACTGAAAATTAATATTCGATATAAATAATTTTTAAACTCAACTTTTGCAGTAGTAAAAAGACCTATGTATGTATTTACGTAAGTACATTTAATTTGTTTACTTTTGGTCATAACTGGTTACTATTATTGCGAATTTAACAGAATCAATTTATTTGCGTAACATATTGCAGCGTTTGATAAATTAGTGCTAAAACGTAAAAAAATAGTACATACATATATGTACATATGTATGTATATGAAAATCTTAAATAAATTTCCGATACATTAACATTTAGAACTGACGCCATTGCGTTTTGAAAGCAGAAACATTGCCTTTGCAGGAATATAAAAAAGGCCATAGTAAATTCATAGATATGTACATATGTACATATGTTAAAAAACTTTATTAAAATACTAAACTTTATGTAACATGTCCTGCAAGCACGTGTTAGCAGGTGCAACCACTCCTCTGCCTGGTATCGGCCTTACCGAAACGATTATTGAAATAACTGCGTAAGTCTGCAAAAGTTTTACATATCTGGTGGATACAAATAGTGTAGATGTTTTTGTAAAATTTACCAAATGTTTGCGACTTTGCCGACAGTTGTGGCACCTGCCCCTGAGCAGACTTTGTTAACGTTGCTAGCTGTTGTTGGGCGGCTGCCTCAAACGCCAGAGCGGCCAATCTTTGAAAAAATTCGGTCACCCTATATCCAGAGCGTGCCGATACTGACCAATATTCTGCATGCATCTGTGTGGCCGCAACGCTGGCTAGTCGTTCCATGCTCATGAACTCTTCTTTTGACTGCTCATTAGGGATGTTATATTATTGATCACGAATATGTATGTATGTATGTATGTATTTCTGACTTACCAAGAGATCTGCCTTTGTGCCCACTAAGAATACCAATGGTCGTTGTGTTGTGTTGTACATCAACGCGCTGGAGAGCCACTTCTTGGCCGAATCTAAGGATTCGCGCTTGGACATATCGTATGTGGCAACAACGACTGGAACAGGATGTATGGTTAAATATCGATTCGATGACTCATGCATCTCTACATAAAATAAATAAAACCTACCACTTGCATTGCGGTAATAGGCACCGGCAATGCACTTAAAACGCTCCTGGCCTGCCGTATCCCACCTGAAAGGTCATCACAAATAGCAAAATCACCGAAATACAAACTTGTTTGCGATCTTACATTTCCAAGCTGAAGTTATGTCCCAGTATTTTAAAGTTTTCAAGCTCAAAGTCAACACCAATTGTTGCCTTGTAGTTCGATTGAAATTTATCGTAACAGAATCTGGAACAGAAATATCCATCAGATACATATGTATGTACATATGTATGTATGTATGTATGTATGTATGTATGTATGAATAAACTCACCGATTGACAATGGCAGTTTTGCCCACGGCACAATCCCCTACGAATATAACCTTGCATGGACGAAGTTTCAGTCTGTGGGCCATTGGTAACTCCAATTGATAGCGTAACTGGGGTGCAAAATCCCTAACTTGGTTGTGTGGCGTCTGCACCACGCTATATGGGGGCGGCAGGCGACGCAAGTGGGTGCGTGGGTCGTGCAGGGTCACGTTGGGCGGCGCGGGCAGCACGATATTTTGACGCAGTAGATGAGGCATTGCGAACGTTCCAATTTCAACTGAGGCGCTAGGTTTCCAATGTGGAGCAGCAACAAGCTGCCTGAAAGCGGAATAAGCGTCGCCGCAAAACCGCAAGCGGCGGCAGCGACTTGAACTTGACGAAATCGTGGAGGGACTAGTGACTACCGACTAGTGATATGGCCAAGGTGTTTGGGCACATAATACGCACAGTTGAGCTTTAAATGCAAATTCAGCTTGATAGGCGCAACCCCATTTGGCCCAACAACTACTAATGATAAGACAACGAAGTGCAGTGGCTAAGTGGCGAAACTTTATTACCTAGAAGTCTATTTATTTGGCTGCTTGTTGCCAGTCGGGTAGCCAAAGAAGCCCACGCTTTTCACTTGCTGCATTAATGAGGGTTCCATGGCCAAGGCTTTGAATAAAGCGCGTTTTAGTTGCTTGTATTGAAAGTGTGGCGGAAAGGGCATGTCCTCAAAGGATAGCATCAACAAATGGCCAGCTTCATTGCCCACAGCTAGCGAACGACCGCAGAGTGTGAATCTGCAAAGAATAAGGGAAAGTCCAACTTAGACACACGTCCATCATCTGTTTTGTTTTGAACACTTTTCTATACAAAAATTTAATTAATCACATATTCAATGCTTTAATAATGTGTGGTTTTTCTTATTATGCCGTATAATCTTACAATCTCACAAAGAATAGCAGCTAATTGTGGATTCCACGCTGCAAGCCATATACATATAGTACATATACAGTTCAATAACGTATAATTCAAATTAGTGAACCTGCTTTAAAGAATCTTAAGTGAGTCATTTTATTAAGTAAGGCAAGTACATATGTATATCTTATAGTATAATGCAACGAGTTTAAAGAAACCTATGAATAAAATGAAAAACACATAAAAAACTGATAAGAATGTACCAAGATTTCTTCACCGACCGATTCTAAAATCATTACATATAAAAAAAATATAAAAAAATGAGACATATAAAATAAAAAGTGTAAGAATGTACCGAGATTTCTGTGCCGATCGATTCTATGATAGCTATATAAAATAACGAGGCTCTACATATACGATTTGTGAAAATCGTTTGAGTATTTTAGCTACAATTGGGTATTTAGTTAATGGTATACAAACCGGAAAGTTGTGTAGAAAATCTGGGCATCAATTGTGGTTGAGGATACAGGTTTTAACGTACTGTTTCGCAAATCCCAAATGTCCACGGTGCTGCGAGTCAGCGATACCAGAATGGTTGAGTGAGTGCGACTCCACCGGGCACAGTGCACAGGTGACAAATGATGACGTAGCGTAATGACTGGCTTCAGTATGCCGGCAAGCCAGATACGAATGCACCTACAGAATAGAGGTTTATACCAAAATTTCAGGAAGAGAAACTGGGTACAAACCAATCGCTGCCACACGTGAGGTACAACTTGGGCGACCATGGGGAGAAATCCATGCAGACGGCGGGTGCTTCGTGGATCTGTCGTAACTCTAAATACTGCTGCGGATAGTTGGTGGAGCATTTATACATAGTGCCCTCGTCGGTAAGGACATAGTATATGTCGGCATGCAGGGGATCCACAAGCAGTTCCAGGCACTGGGGGTGCCGATTCGATAGGAGCGGAACTGAAGCACCCAAATCAAGCTGGATGCCCTCCAGCTCGCCCTCAGAACGTTGCAGTCGCTGCTGCTCGAACCCTAGCAGGTGGGGGCTATTGATTAGACGATATTTGGTGACGGCACCTGCCTGGGAGATTGCCAAAAAGGGCGTGGTGTCAGTGTCGCCCCCGACATCGCCATCGCTGCGCTGTATCCACTTAATGGCAGTCACGGGCTCGAAGTAAGGCGAACTAATACGTTGGGAGATTGCTACCGGTGGCAGCTCCGGTTGCGATATGTCACGGACTTCAATGTTGCCGTTGTATAGACCGATTGCCAGCAATTGGGGAACAGCCGCGGAAAACTCCACAGTAACTACTGGCACTTGATAATTGTAACAGCGCTCAGGGTTGACAGGATTCTTGATGTTCCATACGTAGACGTAGCCGCAACGAGGTAACGAGCTTACATGCGCATAGGTGTAGACACCATAGGCCACGGCCAAAATGTCCCCATTGCTGGGACAAAAACTCATATCGGTGACAGCCTGCTGACCTAGTGATAGGGCCTCCTTCACAGCCTCTGTCCTGGGTGCTTCCAGACGCCAAAGCAAACGCAGACGGTATTTGAACTTAACATCTTCGGCCAACGGATCTGGCGGCGCCATATTGCGGAAGCGTCGTTGCTGCGCCTCAAACACATTGCTCGCCAACAGGCGCATGGTCAGCATGAGGGCCAGCTTGAAGTTGGGCAGCTTGTTGATGCCGACAAACTGATCGACGCCACCCACCATGTAGGTGGTGATCTCCATTTTTTCCTGCCCCTGCACTTGTACGCTCTTGGTGGAGCTCTCTAGATCTTGATAGGTGTCGAACATTTCAAAGTTGGATACATACGAGCCGATATGGTCTGTGGTCAGTCGTTCAGTGTTGACCAGCCGTGACTTCTTGAGGGCCGTCAGAGTTTGTGTGTCTGCGTCCACGGTGCGTCTGGTTTTGTCCGTGCCGGCAAGCAACTCCTCATAGCGCCGATTGTCGGCCAGCACCTGGCATCCTTCCTCACTGTCCGCAAGCGCCGTCATACTGTACCGTTCGTAAAGGACTACCATAGGTGTTTTGCGGAGTAGCACTTTGATGAACGGCGTGGCAGGTGCTTTGGCGGACTTGGCGGGATGTAATGGCTCAGGAGGAGTCTCACTGGCGAAGGCAGTAGTGGGGTCATCCCTACTCAGTTTGATTTTGTATAGATTTATCTGAAAGTTGAAAAGGTCTATTATAATATGATTTTCTTTTTCTCGTTCTGTTTCTTTTTTCTCTTTCTGCCTTATGTACATCATCTAGATAGCTCATAAGTAGAATTAAGTTTTCTCCTGTTTTTATAATGGCTTTCTTATTTTTTAAAATTTAAATTATAACTTAATATAACTTAATATTAGTAAACTGTATTGACAGCATTATTTGTTGATATACTAAATAAATTAGGATATGGTAATAAAGTGCGACTTAGGGTGAATTAAACTTGGCAGTCCTCACTCGCCCGCGTGTCGATCTTAAGATTTAATTAGAAACTCTTACTAAATGGAGCATCTAAAGACCTCGCAAAAGTGGCCAAAAGTAACTCAGCGCTACTATAAAACTTACTCCCAGTGCAATGTCGTCTAAAGAGGCTCGCATCACGCACTTGGAGCGATACTCGGGCGTGCGAAGCCGTTGCATTTCAAGTTGTTCGGGCCTGGCCTTCTGCATCAGCGGATGCTTTTCTATGGTGTGCAGCAGCTGGTCAAAGTCAGCACGGCGATAATCCTTATTCAATGGCCTGGACATTTTTGCTTGTCGTGGCTAGTCTCTTAGTTTGATTATTATATTGCCTTTGCAATCCCATCAAGTCGATTGGCGGCGATTGTTTGGCTGACGACACCACGACGTCGGCGTCGACATGGCGACGTAACCAAGCGGCTATTGCAATACGGAATTTTGTTAGCCATATTACACATTCATCTATACATATGTATGTTTAGTATGTAAAGTATGTATGTGTGGCAATTCGAATGCACGCAAGCGCAAAGCAAGATGCATAAAATATGAAGTTGAGCCATTTGGCAAGCCACCGTCGATGGATGCATCTGCCCGAGTGTTCCACATGAGTGCGGGCGGTGCCACAGAAACTAGTGGGTGTCCGTAGCGAATAGACAAACTGCCGCAACTAAAATAGCAACAGTAGGTAGTATCATCAACAACAACAGCAGTTGGCGCGACCTGTCAAAGAAAAGCTTCTAGCAGATACCAAATTTGTCTACCAATTAGATGCGAGCCAAAGCAATTTAGTTGCTCTATGGTATAGTGGGTCTTTAATTCCGCCACAATGGCAGACTGTAACTACAAGTACAATGGTAAGTACATAGAAGTCAGTCGAACAAAGAAGTTGTTTTATGTTAATTCGCTTTATGCTTCGCTACGCTGACTCGCTTAATGAACAAGCGATGTCGGTCCAAGTGCAATATGTCAAATAGACAGAAGCAAGCCTTCCTCCTCATGCGGGCTAGAATAGAAGCCGCCTCGCTCATGCTGGCCAGAAACATCAAAGTCGCGTTTTGGCATTTGCGTTCACGTTCACGTTATAAACGCATCAAAGCGGAAAGCAATAAATGTGCAGGCCAAAGAAAAAGCGCGTACAGCCCATTTCCCACTTCCCATTGTCTTCGGATCTCGCTCTCCAATTGAAGTTGAAGTTGAGGTTGATGTTGGAGCTGCCTGGAGTTGCCTGAGCCTTGCGTGCATTATGAACTTTGCACGAGCGAGCGAGCAAGCGAGCATGCGAAATGCGCCCACTTGTTGTTACACTTTTTGGCCAAAATCAACAGCAGCAGAACCAACCACTGGCAATATCGTCGCAGTCAGCCAAAATCACTGAACCGCAAACGTAACTGCGCTGCCAACGGCGACGTCTTGTGCACACTGTGCTCATTGAGGTCTTAACTGATAGTCAAGCAATATATCCTACTATATCTCCTCGATGAGCTGTTGGGAACGGCAAAAGAGGTGTTGCTTTTACAGAGGCAGTTACGAAATCATCTTGAAAATTTCAATTAATCGAGTCGAATTCATTCTAATAAGTAGTTAAGTTGGTAATCAAGTATTTATTTACTTATTTATTTATCCTAGCATTACAAGAACCACATTACTTTTAATTTATTATGCTAGTCATTATATATTCATTTCAATTTAATTCACTTAATTATTAATTTAATTTAATTATTTAATAATATTAATAATATTTAAAATTTAATTAATTAATAACATTTAATTTAGTTTTATTTAACTTTGAATATCACAATTAATTTTTACGATTTGTCTTCGCTTTAAATATTATTTAATTATTATTGTTATTACAATATTACTATTTTTATTATTTCTTATTTTATATTATAAATTTTATTATTTTTAATAATTTGTCCTACAAATGTAAGCTTATGATATGTGTAATATAGGGTATTTAGATGTACTATTGCCATTGGGCTTGAGTTTTAAGACTAAAGTGCGTCTCAGGTAATGCAGAAGATCGTTCCACAGCCGAACAGCCGAACAGCTTTGCCATTCCAAGCTGGCAAATTTATTTCTTATGCAGACTAAATTATTTGTTCTTCTGGATGTGGAAAAAGTGATTGTTTCATATAAATAAGTTGGGCTAATATTCTTATTAAGCAAGTTACGCTTATTTGCAGAGGACGCATGCAAACTAATTATTAAAGCCATTGTCGACTAATTTTGTGCCTGCAAAATTCATTCAAACCCTTTTGTCCAACACAATTTATACACAAATAACTGCCTTTACGGGCATGCAGGTAATTATCTTTAAAGACATTGAAAATTTTAAATGTAAGCCGAACATGATGTCAGCTGTCTCAGATTTTCCGAGTATGCAATAATAAAATGTTAAGTGCAATATGTACTTATAGTTGTTTTTCAAGGAACATAATGATTTCCAATCTCAAGTACATTTGTAAATAATTTATAGAAAATTTAGTACAAGTAAAATTTTTGCAATACAAATAACCGACTTCAGATCTAGTGAAGTGAATGCTTTTTTGTCATTTAATGTGACTTAATGTTTTGATGGTTGGTTCCTGTTCGGGAATACACTTTTCAGCTACGAGTATTTGGACTGAATGAGGTAAGTTTAAGGCTGTTATCTCGTTGATGGCATAGTCAGAACCAGACCAAATGACACCATACGGGAAGCATCCACTTTCAAATGGAAAAAGAATCATCAAAATTGGTTCACCCAGACAAAAGTACTGAGGTTACAAATACAGTCGACTAACCAAACTCTCATCAAACTACCCTTGAAGTACATCCTTTCCTATAAAAAAAGTATCATCGAAATCAAATGATGCAATCAAATAATGCAAATTTAATAATTATATCGACGAATATCCTTTTTGAAGTCGCTTAAAAAAGAGAAGCGAAGCCTCAGACCCATAGAAAGCTAACTGCAACAGCACTCTAGAATCAATTACTCATCGCTACCTTTGCCGTCGCCGCACTTGTCGCTCCGTCCTCGGCAATAAAAACACCTTAATTTTATGCATTTTATGAGCCTCTAATTGTTCACACACTCCACCTACAACACTCACTGCTCGGACATTTTTACTGCCACCGAAAAACTCTTGCATTCTTTGTGCATCGGCAGCCCTGCTCCGTCCGTGTTTGTTTGTTTCTTTAACCGATTCCATTCATTCACATCGGCTTGTACACCTGTTTTATGTGTCCACTGGCCCCAATGTGCGCTGCGCTTCAGGCCCAGCGTCAACACCAACACCAACTCCAACGCTAACGCCAACGCCAACGCTGGCAGAGCCGATGACGACGAAGTTGCTGCTGCTGCTGGCGCTGGCGCTGCCGTTGCCGTTGCCGCCGCTGCAGACGCTTGGCGGTGTAACATATTTTCTTTTTCATTTTTATTGTACCAAGCAACGCCGGGCGATACGTTTAAGCCGAGCTCACATATTTTCGTAACAAAAAACAGACTTTTTATTCGTTAATTAGTCGTCGTGGGGCGCAGAGGTGCCCGTCTTAGTGCCGATGTCGATGCCAGGCGTGAAACTCGCTTAACGGAAGTTCAAAAGCTTGCGGAAACTGGCGGGCGAGAAAAGAAAAAGACGAGCACTTGTCCAGCGATTGAGAGCAGGGCATGACTTGAAGAAAATTCGAAACCCAACTATGCCAAGCGACCACAACATCAGCTAATCGATCGATATTGACCATAACTTTCTTGAGAGTCGACCACAGTTGGCTTCTCGGCCGGTGGTTGACAGTGACATTTGGTGTTTGTCAGCCATCGTCTGGTCGTGTTGTTGTTCTGTCGTCTTCGGCTTCTAACTCTTTCCGTTGCTGTGTCTGAGTGCACACACTCTCTTGTTGTTGTTGTTGTTGCCGCAGTTGCATTCCGGCAGCACGTGCGCTCGTGTGCCCTTTGGGCCAACAGCTCGGCACAGTCTTAAAAGTGGCGCGTGCGCAGGTGGTGGTGTTTTTTCGAGTGGTGCACAGCACAGTGAAATAATCGTACACACAAATTATGCAAATTCCAAAATAACAATGTTGCGTAAAAGCGCTCCGTATAATTAATGTCAAAAATTCGTTTTAAAATATTAACAAGATTTCGCAATAAACGAAACACCCGCATGTGTGGCTAAAGCTAGTAATTAATTTAGTCACATAATACGCTAATCAGCTAATCAGCGCGACGCTTTGCTTATCAGCATCCACGAATCAAACATCGACTAACGTCCAACGATTTTTTACCGAACAATGCGGTTTTGGAAGCGACGCCATCGTCCAAATGCCGAACCGGCAACATCGACAACAACATCAGCCCCAACATCACAGCCACAATCACAATCATCGCCATTGACCACGCCGGCAGAAGGCATTAATCGTAGATGTGAGTTTAATACATTCTTGTTTATGTCATAATAAATTTTTGTAGTGTAATAGTACATGTATCTTGTTAAAATATTCGGAGGTCAGTGTCTTCTTTACTAAGTATGTTTACTTGCGTTGGCCAGCCCATTGAGAAGATCTCCTACTATAAATATTAATTATAAATACACCTAATTCTGTTTTTACACGGTGCATTGGCTCCAGAAAAATTGGTGTAAAAAAAGACATTGATCATATGTTATTTTGAATCGTGCTAAATGGAATAATGTCGGGCAACCATATATAAAATTTTTAATTTTCAAACCGTGTTAAATCAAAACAGTGTAAAAAAAGACAGTGTAAAAACAGAATTATGTGTAAAGCTATGTTTTTAAGAAATGTTCAATATCTAATACAGATATTTATATTCGGAGAGACACAAATTAAAACACTTCCTATTGATATTAATAAAAAAAGAGAATACGACAAAATTAAACTTAAACATTTTTAATTTTGGAATCTATTTAGCTTTATTTAAGATAGTATGCAAAAAGTAAAATTCAGTTATTATTTGCATAAGAATCACATACAAAAATAATGATTACTTTTCGTGGGCAGACATTTGTTTTGTTGAGACGAAATTTCCACCGTTTTCAAGATTATTAAGCGGACTTGCTTACTAACTATTTTGGAATTTTCAAGAAAAAATTTTCAATGGAAACTCCTTTATCATAAATTTAATAAATAAGCTTGAATTAAGCTTAAAGCTTGACTTCTCCAACACCCTACATAGTTGTTCAGGCATATTTTAAAGCTACTTTCCGCGCAAAACGCAAAAGAAAATCTTGGAAAATAAATTTAAGATGCCTTTAAAGTAACAGTATATAATAAACATATGCACAATA